ATCTTATTTCACGTGTGATTTCATTTTTTCAGCGCTCGTACATATCGGCCTGGGAGAAGGACAAAACCAGCGTGCACATTATGCCGGATACGCCTGGCATTTTGCTAGCCCAGCAGAACAGAGTGAACTTCAGTGAGGTAGGTGCTTGAGCTGGGGTTAAGTGTCCATCCCTGGACACGGCTGCGGCCCAGGTAGAAGTGTTGTGTGAGGGGAATGCTTGTTTCTCTTTCAGAAACTGTACAAGCTTGCGATGGAGGAAGATAAGAAAAAGGGCTACGACATGCGGGCAGACGCCATTCCCATCAAGTCTGCCAAAGCTTCCAGAGACATTGCAAGTGATGTAAGTACACAGGAGCCCTTGATGGCACACCCTCCTCAGTCTTACTTCACTTTTTAGAAAGAGGTCTGGATAATGGTCGTAGCATCATAGAATCATAGAATGGTTTGTGTTGGAAGGGACATTAAAGATCATTTAATTTCAACACCCCTGCCATGGTCAGGGAGACCTTGCACTAGGCGAGGTACCTCAAAGCTCCGTCCATCCTGGCCTTGAATACTTCCATGGATGGGGCATTCACAACTTACCTGGGCAACATGTTCCAGTGTCTCACCACCCTCACAGTAAAGAATTTCTTCCTGATATGTGATCTAAATCTACCTTCTTTCAGTTTAAAACCATTATCCCTTGTCCTATCACTATACTCCCTGATAAAGAGTCCCTCCCCATCTTTCCTGTAGGCCCTCATTAAGTCTCATTAATTTCGAGTCTCCCCAGATCCTTTTCTTCTCTATGCTAAACAACTCTAACTCTCTCACCCTGTTCTTATAAGGGAGGTGCTCCACCCCCTGGTCATCTTCATGTCCCTCCTCTGGACCCACTCGAGTAGGTCCATGCTTTTCTTATGCTGGGTGCCCCAGAGCTGAATGCAGTGCTCCAGGTAGGGTCTCATGAGAGCAGAGCTGACATCCTCCCTTGATCTGCCAGCCATACTTCTTTTGATGCAGCCCAAGAGACAATTGGCTTTCTGTGATGCAAGTGCACATTTTGCCAGGTCATATTCAGTTTTTCATCCAATATCCCCAAGCCCTTCTCCATAGGGCTGCTCTCAATCTGCTCATTGCCAAGCCTGTATCCATGTTTGGGATTGCCTCGAGCCAGGTTCACGACCTTGCACTTGGCCTTGTGCAACTTCATGAGGTTTGCACAGGTCCACCTTGCTAGGCTGTCACGGTCCCTCTGGGTGGCATCCCTTCCCTCTAGAGTAACAACCACACCACTCGGTGTGGTGTCATCTGTGAACTTGCTGAGGGTGCACTCAATCCCACTGTTCATGTCCCCAACAAAGATGTTAAACAGTGCCAGTACAAGTACAGACCCCTGAGGGACACCACTCATCGCTGGTCTCTACCCAGGCATCAAGCTATTGACCACAACTTTTTGAGTGCAACCATCCAGCCAGTTCCCTACCCACTGAGTGGTCCACTCATTAAATCCATGTCTCCGTTTTAGAGACAAGGTTGTTGTGTGGGACAGTATCAAATGCTTTGCACAAGTCCAGGTAGATTATGTCAGTCGCTCTTCCTTTATTCACCAATGCTGTAACCCTGTTGTAGAAGGCCACCAAATCTGTCAGGCCCGATTTGCTCTTAGTGAAGCCATGTTGGCTGTCACCAATCACCTCTCTGTTTTCCATGTGCTTTAGCATAGTTTCCAGAAGGATATACCCCATGATCTTGCTGGGCGCAGGGGTAAGACTGACTGGCCTGTAGTTCCCTGAGTCTTCCTTTTTCCCTTTTTAAAAATGGGAGTTATGTTTCCCCTTTTCCAGTCACTGAGAACTTCACTGGACTGCCAGGACTTTTCAGATGTGACAGATAGTGATTAGCAACTTCATCTGCCAGTTGCCTCAGGACCCTTGGGTGCATCTCATCAGGTCCCATGGACTTGTGCAAAGTTCCTTACATGATCTCAAACCTCATCTTCTCCTATGGTCAGCAGTATTTCATTCTCCCAGTCCCTGTCTTCAGATTCAGTGAATTGGGTGGCGTGACTAGAGCACTTGCTGGTGAAGACTGAGGCAAAAATCTGTTGAATACCTCAGCTTTCTCCATGTCGGTTGTAGCCAGGTCTCCCGTTTTGCTCATTGGAGAGGTACAGTTTCTTTCACCTTCCTTTGTCATCCTGTGTATCTAAAGAAATCCTTGTTATTTTTTACATCCCTAGATAAGTTCAGCTCCAACTGTGCCTTGGCTTTCCTGATCCGCTCCCTGCACTCCTGGGCCATATCGCTATAATCTCCACATGATGTGTATCCCTGCCTTCACTGCCTATGCGTTTTGGTTTTGTGTTTTAGTTTGGCTAAGAGGTCTTGACTTAAACTTGATCTGGTGGCTTGTAATAGACAGGAATCACACAGGTTTTTTTGTTCATTTGGTCTCTAATTTTCACCCATAAGCTCTTGACATACTCATTGCAAGAAAAGCATCGTGTTGCCCCTTGTCACTTCCCAAGCTTAGTGGCTGTAGGCCTGCAGCTGAGGACCCACATGGGGCTGGGAGAATAAGTCTCGTGGGCGCTGTGCCGGGGAGCCTGGTGCAGTGGAGTGTGTCAACTGGTGTGGGCTGTGGGGGTGAGTGCAGTCAGGGCTGTGCAGGATGAGGTCCAGGCTGCCTACTGGAGCAGTCCGGTGGTTTTCCCTGAGTTTTACATCCCAGCTGCTGAGCTGGCCTCTCTGTGGGGATGCTTAGGTTGTGTGGAGACCCTGCCTGGCGGCACACATCGCTCCTAGTTCTGGAGCATGTGTGGTTGGCGTTGCCATCTAGGCCTCCATGTACATCCCGTGGCCCTGCATAGGCATGGGGTGGGATGGAAGTGTAGGGCACAGTAGGGATATGCTGTGCTTAGACACCTCTTCAGGTGGTGATCTTGCCTGGCTCCACGGGCATGGCACTTGCTCACAGGCGCAGCTACAGAGTGGAGTGTCAGAAGGGAGAAGAGCTGGTCAGACACCTAATGAGCTTCTTCCACCCTACAGTACAAGTATAAAGAAGGCTATCGCAAGCAGCTTGGCCACCACATAGGGGCCCGTAACATAGAGGACGATCCAAAGATGATGTGGTCGATGCACGTAGCCAAGATCCAGAGCGACAGGGAGTACAAGAAAGCCTTTGAGAAGACAAAGACGCACTTCAGTAGCCCAGTGGACATGCTGGGAATCGTGTTGGCCAAGAAATGTCAGGAGCTGGTCAGCGACATTGATTACAAGCACCCTCTGCATCGTTGGACCTGTCTGCCGGACCAGAACGATGTTGTACAAGCCAGGAAAGTGTACGACCTTCAGAGTGATGTAAGTTATTCTTTTCTGTCTGTGTGACAGCCCGAAGCCTCTCTTGTGTTCTGTTCCTTTGTTGGAGAAGGTCCAGGTGGGGAGCGTAAGCGTAGGCTGATTCTGAGAGACTGTGTTGGGCCCCTACTGTCTTGCTTGAGAGTAGGTGTCGTGAGCGGACAGGGGTGAAGTTTGTGTGGGGTCATACTTTATGGTCTCAGAGGAGTCCTGTCTTGCCTTGAGCATTCCGGGGGGAGTTTTGCTGGAGATGGCTCGAGTTCTGTATGGCAGGGGAAGGGCAACGGAGTCAGATATTTCCATCTGGAGGACCGACAGTGGGCAAAGGCTGCCACGTGTGCAGTGGTGAATGGTCTGAAGAGCGTTGGGTGATGAGGGATAAGGCTCCTCCCGTCACCCTGCCAGCTGGAGATTGCCAAAAGGGGCCGGTCTTTCCCAGGGAGACGACAAAGGTGGTGGGGAGGGCTTTGTGGCTTGCTTGGCACGTGATTGAGCTGTTGCAGGCATAGGGAGCTGAGTAGTGGGGAGGGGAGCTTAACGGGAGTCCCTTTTGTGGTGTCTGTTGGGTTGGCGCAGGGGAATGTGTTTTGTTAGTCAGAGCTTCCCTTGGTAGGAGGAGTGGTTGCGCGGAGTAAGGAGGATGCTGAGCTGCTTTCGGAGGGGCTTTGGCTGGTCCCCAAGTGGTTCTCTGGACGATGAGAAGAATAAGAGGGCGAGCCTCATCCTGAGCGACAAGAAGTATCGGCAACACCCGGACACCATCAAATTCACGAGCCTCCCTGACTCGATGCCCATGGTTCTGGCGAAGCACAACTCTGAAATAATGAACCAAGTGAGATTTCCTTGTGTGTGCAACATGAAGGAACTGAGTGCATTTCCCAGGCCTTTGGGCTCCCTCCTGCCAGGGCCTGGGTTTTGCAAGGGGGACGTTGCATGCTCTTGCATCAGGGATTTGTGTTCCTTGGTTTGGATGAAACTGTGTTTTGTGTGGTTGGTGCAAAGATTGGGTGCAGCGTGGAAAAGAAAAGGGTGAAGTGTTAGGAGGCTTTGGGAGAAGAAAAGACATTCCTGAGTTGGTGCAAAGTGGAGGTCCCTTGCTTCAATTTGTTGAGCTGGTTTGTTCTTTGAGTAGCCCTGTGCTTGTGTGATCTTATTTCACGTGTGATTTCATTTTTTCAGCGCTCGTACATATCGGCCTGGGAGAAGGACAAAACCAGCGTGCACATTATGCCGGATACGCCTGGCATTTTGCTAGCCCAGCAGAACAGAGTGAACTTCAGTGAGGTAGGTGCTTGAGCTGGGGTTAAGTGTCCATCCCTGGACACGGCTGCGGCCCAGGTAGAAGTGTTGTGTGAGGGGAATGCTTGTTTCTCTTTCAGAAACTGTACAAGCTTGCGATGGAGGAAGATAAGAAAAAGGGCTACGACATGCGGGCAGACGCCATTCCCATCAAGTCTGCCAAAGCTTCCAGAGACATTGCAAGTGATGTAAGTACACAGGAGCCCTTGGTGTCCCACCCTGCCAGAGAGTTCCCCGGTGCTTGCCGTTGAAGCCCAGGTTTTGTAACCTTAGCGGAATGGAGGCAACCCAGCTCTTACCTGTCAGTACCATTCAGCTGGTCTGTAAACGCATTGGTTCTGGAGGTTCTGCCTGTAGCTGTCCCTGTGTCTCTGTTTAGACTTTCATGTCTCTCTCTATGCTCTTCCAGTTTTTATGTCCTGCATACGTTGAGTAGGAATTTGGCTATTGTGCTTGCAGGTCACTAACTGATTTTTTATGTGGGGGTTATTTATAGAACTCTGGGCCTTTCCTATTACTGCCATCAAAGAGACTCTTTTTACTCTCAGTTACTGAGTAGGATCTCTTAATATGTAGGCTAGGGAGTTGCTTTGAAAATCTGAAGGTCATGTCAGGCAGATAATGTAACATGGATCCTTTTGTAGCTGTACATTGTAGCTCACCAGCAGAATACTTTCTGACTCTAAAATCTCTGTGCCTTCAGATACTAAATTCTCTGTCAGTTGTGGCACAGGGGCTGTTAGGGCCATAAAAAAAAAAAGAAATTCTAACTCACTGAACTTTTTATTGCCTATAGTACAAGTATAAGGAAGGCTATCGCAAGCAGCTTGGCCACCACATAGGGGCCCGTAACATAGAGGATGATCCAAAGATGATGTGGTCGATGCACGTAGCCAAGATTCAGAGCGACAGGGAGTACAAGAAAGCCTTTGAGAAGACAAAGACGCACTTCAGTAGCCCAGTGGACATGCTGGGAATCGTGTTGGCCAAGAAAGGTCAAGAGTTGGTCAGTGACATTGATTACCGCCACTATCTGCATGAATGGACTTGCCTGCCAGACCAGAACGATGTTATCCATGCTAAGAAAGCCTATGATCTACAAAGTGATGTGAGTACTTGCCGATATGCATTGGAGTCCTAAAATGTATGCGTTTTCCTTGGAATATTAAGTATAGAATCCGCCTCAACTGACTCCCTCATATAGTGTTTTTTCACCTTGTGTTTTGATTTACCTATTGATTTTTAGGATTGAATGATTCTGTGTTTAAGAAAGATTGAGTATTGTAGAGGTTTGTATACAGCTAATCAGTTAGATGAACAGTAGAACTAGCTGCACATAATGCTTTATAATAGACAATCTTAATCCCATTATATGGAGATTAACTGTGTATAAAGAGGAAATTGCCTGGTATGACTTTTTTTTTAATTGCGTGGCTTCAGTTGAGGGAATGCCTTTGTTCTGTCCTGGAGAAAATGGTTTAAATTAAGACCTGCTTTCTTAGTGGGTGACCATTTATTTGCTGGGACCATTTATGTTGCAGGAAAAGTTTATACTGACTTTCAGTGTTTCGTTTTAAACCCATTACTCTTTGACCATTCCCCAACATGTTGTTGGGTGAATGATACCTCTTGAAGGCAGATAAGGGGTTTGAATCTAGGTTGCTAACAGAGATTGTTTTGCAGATTGAACTATGAGGAAGGCAACTTACAGAAAGTAAGCATTAGTTGCATGGTATATATGAAATGTTTAACTGGCAATATTAATGAGACAGCCATCTTTGTATTTTGTAATAGAACTGCTACAAGTCTGACCTTGAATGGTTACGAGGCATTGGTTGGGTCCCAATTGGTTCTTTGGATGTTGAAAAAGCCAAGAAGGCGGGAGAGATCTTGAGTGATAAAATATACCGCCAGCATCCAGACACAATCAAGTTCACTAGCGTCACTGATTCTCTAGAGATGGTCTTAGCCAAGCAGAATGCGGAGACGATGAATAAGGTGAGTCGTGAGTCGATTCGGTAACACACCAGCAGTCTCTGCCTAAACTCTGGAGACAGGACTAGAAATACAGATGTGTTTGCTGTGTGAGATTTCAGCACAGCAAGGCTTTAAAAATGTAAGTTACATTCTTGGTAATCAACAGGTAACTTACTTTCAGCAAATGATAATTTAATAATATCTTCCAAGTTACCAAGTTAAATTAGAATTATCAGTTGTGAAGCTTTCCATATACTCTACTATATATCTAGTAATGTGTTACTTTAATCTAATTTTTAATATAGCAATTTGTCTAATAACTTATCAAGTTTGTCTAGTAATCTAGTAATTGATAAACTACTTGTTTTAGGGCAGTCTTTGAAATATCCATATTTTAAACAATTCAGCATAGTACTTAAAATGTAGGAATTTTTTTGGAATCTGTGGTCCTGAGGTCGATCCTATTTATGTCAATAAAACCATTTCCTCTGTCAAACAGGTCTGTTCTTACAGCTTAGATCTCTATGTGTCTGATAAGCATTCTGTGTCTTTTTTCTAGATTTTTTTTTTCAACAGAATTCTTTCTAGGTTACTAATTCTTAACCTGGACATTAAGTATCTAGAGGAGTGAATATAAAATCTCATTGCTATATAAGGAATAAGGATTTTTTAGACTTGGCGTACAGATCTGTAATTCTTCCTATGTTTTAGGTGATCTCCAAGCGGTCAGCTTTCTTTTTCTGCCTTTAATGTACATTATTTCTCCCGCAGCGTTTATATACTGAGGCCTGGGATAAAGACAAGACACAAATCCACATAATGCCTGACACACCTGAAATCACACTGGCAAAACAGAACATGCAAAACTACAGTTTGGTGAGTGTATTAGCTCTCCAAATGTAACTGGTCTGTTTCATGGCTGGATCCTCAGTATTCTGATAAACCTTATATAGATGATACCTCAGTTTCTTTAAGTAGCTCCCAATATTTATCCTCAAAATTGTGACTTTAAAATACATCATCTGCGTATTTGTACAGTAGTGCATGCGTACAACAGTGAGCATTATTGAGAATAAATTCCATGAGAAGTTTTGTGTCTCCAGTGAATTTCTGGGAGTAATTTCTACCAGCATGCATACTGTTGGGAAGGCATGAAATTAATTCCAACATTGGAAATACCAAAAAGGTAATTTCCAGCACAATTCTGAAGAGCAGTGATCCCAGCGTTCAATGCTAGTTTAGGCAAATAAATTCACATCAGTAAGAAGTGGGTTTAAAAAAGTTTTACTCCACTTGTATAGAAGAATAGTTTATCTCTAAAATTGTAGTCAGTGTTATGTTATTTAAAGTATTGAAAGAAAAGAAAATGTTAGCTAGTGTATTTAGCACAGATCTTCCTTTGATATGAATTTGTATCAGCTACTGATCTGGAGCTTTGAGTTAAGAAAGTTAGGTAAATCTTAACACAGTTTTTTAAATCTACTCTATTTACAAGCAGTTTGATTTGCATGGAATGCAATATGGAACTTACATGAATCCCATTGTTTAATTCTTCACCTAGAAACTCTACAAACAGGCCATGGAAGAAGCAAAAAAGAAAGGCTATGATCTGAGAAGTGATGCTATCCCCATTCAAGCTGCCAAAGCATCCAGGCAAATTGCCAGTGATGTAAGAAACTACTTTTTGTTTCTTTGTGTGTTTACGTCTGATCTCTGCAACCTGGAAGTTATCAGCTGGATTCTGTAAAAGGCATTTCAGTTAAACTGTGACCTCAGATAATAGATTTTTGGAAGTAAATTCTTATATAAATTTAAAGACTTATTTGTAAAAATTAAATGTTGAGAAGTTTTGAAGACAGTGTAATGCTATCATGTTAATTTTATAGCTCATAAACCTGTATCTTTAATTACATCTTAACAGTAAATTATTATATTTAATAAGGATTAGTATTATATTTTAATAAGGATTAAATATACTTAATAAGGAGAGGATTATTTCTCACTAATATTAGTGAAGAGCATTTTTTCAAAAAGACATACTTAAAAATCTCTATTTAGGGTTCTAACTCATTTAATGTGAGAATCCATGTTACTAGCCCCAGAATTGCTTTGACTGTTACATTTTTTTGACTATAGGTTATAGAGAAATTTCAAGAGATTATTATTAGAAATATCTAATATGGGAAACTGATATTTAGAGGTGATACAGAAATATAATATCTTTATTTATATTTCAGTACAAATACAAAGAAGGCTATCGCAAGCAGCTTGGCCACCACATAGGGGCCCGTAACATAGAGGACGATCCAAAGATGATGTGGTCGATGCACGTAGCCAAGATCCAGAGCGACAGGGAGTACAAGAAAGCCTTTGAGAAGACAAAGACGCACTTCAGTAGCCCAGTGGACATGCTGGGAATCGTGTTGGCCAAGAAATGTCAGGAGTTGGTCAGCGACGTTGATTACCGCCACTATCTGCATGAATGGACTTGCCTGCCAGACCAGAACGATGTTATCCATGCTAAGAAAGCCTATGATCTACAGAGTGATGTAAGTTATTCTTTGATGTAATTTTTGGCGAGGAATATATGTGGTATTTTACATAGGTGGACCAGGCCGCCATACACCAATGTGGTAGAACCAAATTTTCAAGACTAAGTTTCATGGCTAATTGAAACTCATATCTCCAATAGGATATGTTAACTGATTGATATTTAAATTAAATTCTGTAATTCCAGAATTTTGGCTATTTGTCATTTGCCATTCTGTGAAACTTGGATAATGGTTTCACTCTTAATGTAGATGAAATGCAGTTATTTTCTCTAGGTTTTTGATTTTATTTGGAGTAAAAGTTGATAATGACGTTATTTAACTGTGAAGAGATTCACTGTGTAAATTGCATTGTTATTATTAGAATAACCTGTGTATTTTTTTATCATAGAACTGCTACAAGTCTGACCTTGAATGGTTACGAGGCATTGGTTGGGTCCCAATTGGTTCTTTGGATGTTGAAAAAGCCAAGAAGGCGGGAGAGATCTTGAGTGATAAAATATACCGCCAGCATCCAGACACAATCAAGTTCACTAGTGTCACTGATTCTCTAGAGATGGTCTTAGCCAAGCAGAATGCGGAGACGATGAATAAGGTGAGTCGTGAGTCGATTCGGTAACACACCCCACCTAAACCCTGGAGACAGGACTAGAAATACAATGATCACAAGTAATGGTGAAGTTCAGAGGTGATGTATTTTCAAATAGTGTGCTCTGTTTATTTCAATCAACACTATTAGACCCTGTAATGGAAGACTCAACTTTGTCATGATGTTCTGCATGTTACATTTTAATCTTTTCTTTGCCATATCTGTGCAGTAAGCAGTAATAATGCTTTGGTTAATCGTTATTCTTAACGTAATATGGCAGTTTTCAAAGTGTTGTTAAATTTGCTCAGATAAATTATCTTTTTAATAATGGTATCTGTACCTGATTAAATACATAACCATTTATCCATGCTATATTTCCTATAGTTTTACCTAGTATGCTCTACGTTTTACCTGATTAGTAAGATATTAACTTGTTTTGGAATGCAATATTAATCTCTTCCTGTATTCTTTCTTAGCGTTTATACACTGAAGCATGGAATAAAGATAAGACCATGGTGCATGTCATGCCTGACACACCAGACATCCTGCTAGCTAAACAAAACCAACTAAACTACAGTCAAGTAAGTAAAACTGAAGAGTTGAGAGAACTAAAGGATTTCTTACAAGTACAATTTTGCCATCTCTGACTTTTAATTAATATTTTAATATTGTCAAGTTGTTTCATTTCACAAATTGCCAGCTCCACTGCTAAAATTAGAGTTGTTCTTTCGCTAGAATTTACCTCCTGGGTATCTAATTGGGCTTTTAAAATGTATTATCTGCCATAAATGAGAAATCATTTCTATAGCAAGGTATGAATTAACTTTTAGAGTAGTCCTTTCTTTGCCTTCGCTAAATGATGTCCAGTTTCCAAGCGTCTACAACGCAATTACAAGATCTTTGAAATACACATTTTTTTATTTTCTAGAGAAGATAGAGCTGTGTTCAGATATTTAAGTTGTCTGAACATTAACAATATTGTTTAGGCACTTAATTTGTTTTATTACACAGATGTGCTTAACTGAAGTGTAATTTTGTTTTTGAAACAAAAATGTGAATGTTTTTCTCACAGAAAATGTACAGACTAGCTTTGGAAGAATCGAAGAAGAAGGGTCACGATTTGCGGTTTGATGCCATTCCTATTCAGGCTGCCAGAGCATCCAGAGAGATTGCCAGTGATGTAAGCAGCTTTTCTCTCATGTCCATATGGATTTGGTAATGGAAGAGAATCAGAATGTTTGTTGCATTGTTTGTTAATGTGATACCTTAGGTTTATTGAATAGGTAATACTGAAATCCAGTGGTTCTACTGCATGCCTTCAGAACATGAAAGGAATCGATAGCCAGTGTTTTTATGCATCAAGTGTATATCACAGTAATAGATAAATAAAATAATATGAGGATTGTTTCTATGCCCCCCGTAATAGTTCCATTGATGTCCATGGATGTTAAGGTAGGATGATCAGTAAGGCATACAAGTCTGTGCTAGAGTTAATCAAATTAATTTCCGATTCAAAATAGGAAATACTTTAAAATCTCTCCCCAAAATAGAGATATTAGTAAATCAATTCTAAAAGTTCTAAATAGTTGTCTTTTCCTGAGGAAAAAAATAGTTCTGTTGGTGTCATATTGAAATTCAAGATGTCTGAATACAAAAACAGGAAAAAAAATATGCAATGACTTTGACAGGTTTTGCTCCTGGGATGAGGAAGCATCACTAAGAGGCAGAGGATAGCAATTTTTCATGCTCCATGTTTTTCTGTCAAGACTGATATTTTAACTTAGTATTAAGACTAACTCAGACTATCTTCACCAAGGTGTTTTGTAATAAGCTTTTAAAATAAGTTAATATTTACATTTTAATTTTAATAGTAAAAGAATGTGGAATATCAAACTTAGTAAGTATGTGACGTTAAATATTTAGTTAACTGAAAGTGTAATAGAGTTATATAAAAAATCAGAGATAAAGATATCTGGAATAAAATCCTTTTGATGTGAAAATTAATAAAACAGTAGGAAGATATAAATCATGTTTGTCTCTAAACAAAATACGAATGATTATGTTAAACTGTGTGAATTATTTATTAACTTATAAATATACCACGTGAACATGGACATATTTTATTTCAGTACAAATACAAAGAAGGCTATCGCAAGCAGCTTGGCCACCACATAGGGGCCCGTAACATAGAGGACGATCCAAAGATGATGTGGTCGATGCACGTAGCCAAGATCCAGAGCGACAGGGAGTACAAGAAAGCCTTTGAGAAGACAAAGACGCACTTCAGTAGCCCAGTGGACATGCTGGGAATCGTGTTGGCCAAGAAATGTCAGGAGTTGGTCAGCGACGTTGATTACCGCCATTATCTGCATCAGTGGATCTGCCTGCCAGACCAGTACGATGTTATCCATGCTAAGAAAGCCTATGATCTACAGAGTGATGTGAGTAAATAGTTATATTTGTAATACATAGTTAAATATACTGGGTCTTGTACAATATAATTTTTAAAAGATGTATAATATGCCTTAGTCCCTTGCATCAGATACATTGATAGAAGTAAAATGTTTAATATTCTATCATCAAATTCATGTTTAATCCTATTTTCTCAGTCCTTAGCCTGGGTTGTAATTTGTGTGTAACCCTGGTATTTGTGGAGTTCTTCAGTAAGTCTATTCTTTTTGTTATTTAATAATTATTTTACTAAATATTAAAAAATAACAATTTTTTTCAAGACTATATTCTGCTGCTACGCAGAAATAAATACAATTGTTCATGTAGACTAGGATATGCTTATTTATAATTATTTGATTACACTTGTACCTTATATAATGAACTTTTAAATTTTTTCAGGCTGTTTACAAATCAGACCTGGAATGGCTAAGAGGTATTGGATGGGTCCCTATTGGTTCCGTGGAAGTTGAGAAAGCCAAGAAAGCTGGAGAAATCCTGAGTGAAAGGAAGTATCGTCAACCGGCGGACCAAATTAAATTTACTAGTGTGACAGATTCTCTGGCCATGGTCTTAGCCAAGCAAAACGCTGAGATAATGAACAAGGTGAGGTGGTTTGGGTTTTTTTTGTCAAAATCACTGCTATTGCTAGCTAATAGAACTTGTTCATGAGACGAAAAGTATGAAATATGAAGGAAGACTAAACACTTTCATTGTGGACTTCGAGAAAATGAATGTCCAAACTGAGCCTTTGCACAGGAAAGCTGTTACCTCCAGGCTCTGTCTGAACTGAATACTTAGTAAAAAATATCCAGAAAAAAATCACCTAAATCACATATTTTTCAAGAGTAATACAAAAAATTCTGGTGAATTCTCCTCTTACTCCCATCTCGGCTGAAATCCTATTTTTAAATGTTTGTTTGGTATGCTTTTTCTGTTTTGTTAATGCTACTTCACTATACAAAGCTCCTCTCTGACAGAACAGGCTAAATTTTTTTGCAGTTCTTAGGCAACACTGTGAAATCTGCAGAAACAATGTTCCAGCGAGGTGTTAGGGTATGTCCAGGGGTGGTGGCCCCATGCCCATGCTGTAAGATAGGATGTAGCAGAATATTGAGGCTTTTACTGCAGCTGCTATAATGACGTATTGTTGACTGAATGTCATACCACATGGTGAACAAGCTATGAGGAAGCAGCTTATGTTCTATGGAAGTGAAGCTTCTGCAATTTACCTGAGACCTGGAAGATGAAAGTCACGGAGTACTCTTTTAATAAGAAATATCAATCAACTAACTTGTACAGATACAGCGGAATAATGAATATCGTTTTCCTCCTACAACAGTTTCCCAGCAATCCTAGATCAATTAATTGCCGTGCCAACTTAACCTGAGAAAAAATGAGGAAGGACAAAGTTTCCTTCTTGAGCTTCTCAGTGAGAAGCATTGCTATGCCAGGGTATTTCAAACTTGCTTGAACCACCCCTCACAATTTGTTAATTACTTTCTTTGGACAAGTGTATTAATTTGGTTATATATATCTTGTTCTGCTTCAAGATTACTTTTCTTTTATATCATGGATATCTTTTTGATAACTACTGCTTTCAGATTTGCAGTCTTTCCATCATGACACGTATAAAGAATCTTTTTAAAGGAATGTGTTTTCCTCTCTCCTAGCGTTTATACACAGAAGCCTGGGATGCAGACAAAACATCAATTCACGTCATGCCTGACACACCGACAATTTTGTTAGCGAAGGCCAATGCAGCTAATGTCAGCCATGTAAGAATATTTAAACATATACTAAAGTAATGGAAATTCAGAAATTAAGTAAGCATGTCTTTAACCATAAAGATCTTCTAAAATATGCACTCATGAAAATTTTAAGAAAAAAATATGAAATACAGAAACTCCATCTTTCAGAATATTGAGAAGCCATTTTCTGTCTTCTTTTGTATAGAAACTTTACATACAAGCCTGGGAAGAGGCCAAAAAGAAAGGTTATGACATGAGAGCTGATGCAATTCCAATCCGAAGTGCAAAGGCATCAAGAGATATCGCGAGTGACGTATGTTCTTCATGTACATTTATTTTCAGTTAGCTTAAGAAAGAAGAATGAAGTAATAATCTATGTACAACATAAAAAAACACAGTCTATCTGCTTCATCTTGAAAGCCAACTAACAAAGAATTCACTACAGAAAGAAAATGGGCAACAGTTTCCAAAAGGGACATTGAATTATAAATCCTGACATTAAGCAGATATTAGAAAATAATAAACTACAATGAAAATAATAAAAAAAAAAAAAGCTGTGGAGCAAGAATGCGCTAGGCATTTCTAAGCTCTAAATGAGTATATTTCATAACATAAAAAGTACATTTAAGATCAGTAGCAGGATGAAATTATGAGAAATTCATCTCAGATTCACTATTTCCTTCAATATTTTTTTTGCATTTCTAGTACAAGTACAAAGAAACGCACGAGAAGCAGAAAGGCCACTACATTGGGTGCCGAACTGCCAAGGAGGATCCCAAGCTGATGTGCGCCGCGCGTGCCATGTTGCTGCAGAACGACCGGCTTTACAGGAAGGCGTACCACGATTCAAAGGCCCAGGTCCACATCCCAGTGGACGCGATGTCAGTGCAGGCAGCCAAGGAGTGTCAGTCCCTAGTCAGTGATGTTGACTACCGGCACTACCTTCACCAGTGGACCTGTCTGCCCGACCAGAATGATGTGATCCATGCAAGGAAGGCCTACGACCTGCAGAGTGATGTGAGTGAGAGTAACTGTAGAAAAGCTTTATGGCTGGCGTGTGAGTCCCTGTTTGTTAGTGACTGTGCAAACATCGTTTCAAATGCATGTTTGTGAGCCTGCAGTCATTCGTGGTATGTTTATTTTAATTCATCTGGATGATCCTTTCCAAATCAGTAGTGTTTTCAGCTTGGGGGCCAGAAATATTCCAGGCAGTTCATAAAGAAGCCATGGTTTTTTCATCCTCTGTAGGATGTTTGCTTGAAGTTTGCTTGCAGACTGCTCGCAGATTATGCCACTGGTTTGCATATGGCAAGTATCTTTAGAAGTGTCTTTGTTGCTGTGCAAGGCAGGGGTTTACCTGTGTATGGGAAGGACCTGCTATGCCACAGCCTTGTTGATGCTTGCTGTGTAGCTGTACGAGAAGGAGCTTGGGGAAAGCCTTGTGTGAAACCCCTCTGTACATAGAGTTGTCTGTGCAACGTCAGTAACCCTTGGTTTATTTGTAGAATGTCTACAAGTCAGACCTGGAATGGTTGAGGGGTGTTGGCTGGGTGACAGAAGGTTCTGTGGATGTGGTCAAAGCCAAGAAAGCCCAGGAACTCCTGAATGAGAGGTTGTACCGGACGCGGCCGGAGGAGATGAAATTCACCAGCATTACTGACACGCCAGACGTTGTCCAGGCTAAGATCAATGCTTTGCAGATCAGTGATGTAAGCTTACCCTTCCCCTTACCTTTCATTTATGTGATGACATTTCTATTCTTTGTGGTGGAGATTAGAATTTTGACCATAAGAGTGACTAATTGGAAAGTATTGCAAATCCAAATTACCAAAGAATTCCTGTTGATGTCTTTTTTAAAGTGTTCAGACCATGGTGAAACGTCATTATGCTTCCTTTCTCCTTAGCGCCTGTACCATGAAGCCTGGGATAGAGACAAGACGCAGATTTCCATACCTTCTGATACTCCTGTAATGCTGCAGTCCAAAGTCAATGCTCTCAACGTCAGCAACGTAAGAGAATAAAATGATATGCGTGTGAAGTGTTACAAAATTAAGAGTGACAATTGTTCTTCCAGTTTTTGGCTCATGTCTTTTAGATATCGCTGGAAATGGTGCTGTACTAATGCTGTCTTCTAATGTGCTTGTGCTGTAAACAGTAGATTACATCTAGGGTCTCTTTAGGCAGAGCGTCTTGTTGATGAACCTGCGAGCACTGTTTATTAACCAGATGTTCATTAAGAAAGGAGGCCCAAGGTGTTGATCTGGAATCCATGCCATTATATTTTCCCTCAGTCTGTGTGACTGTGAAATTGATGGAAATGCTGCCATGGAACATGCCAGCACTGATGCTTTTCATCCTAAACTGCACAGATTCCCGTGGGAGTGACTCACGGAATTGCTTGTCTTGCTTGATAGATTGTACGTTTGTAAGCAAACTCCAAAGTCCAACTTGCAATTCCACACGACTCCTCCTCCCCTTGACAAAAAATGGCAAATACTTTCCATGGAGTTGTTGCTGAAGTCTGTAGACTCATCCACCCGACACGTTTTGCAGATTTGTGTTGTTTCACTCACTAGCTTTATCAGACTAATACGCTGGAGATTCTGTAAAGCTGGAAACATTTCCCATTTTGCATTTTCAGTTTTTGCTTTGCCTGGAAACTGTATTTACTCCCAGCCTTTCTTGATGTTGATACTATGTTAAATATTTTTCAAAAGCACCTGATGTGATTGAATTAGGCATGAAATATTTCAAGTGCTATTACAACAGACATTTTACTTTCCCCTGTTTTTGTCTTGCTTGTGCTTTGATTACTGTTTTTTTTCTGAGTTCCATATAGTCTGACCTGCAATAGCATTCAGTTTCTGAATTTTCAGAGTCATCAGAAACAAACTAAAAAGTGTGTCATTTACCCACCTGTACTAATGACAAAGTTACCTCCTGGGCTGACCAAGCTTCTGTGGACTGAGATGCCACTAAAGGAGTCCTCATGTTCTTGGGTGTAATGTCCTGGACGGGTTGGGTGTCTCTAGACACGTGAAGGCACTTTGGTTTCTGTTCAGTCTCATAAATGGACTGAGCCTCTCTGCCTGAGGAGGCTTCATAACTTAAGTACAGTCTGGATACATTCTGTCAGTAGAACGGGTGTTATACTCCGAGTAGCTATGACCCTGTGATCAGGTGTGTGTGAGCAGAAGCTCGAACTGTTGTAGGGTCATGCAGAATTCATGGTTGGTTGTGGAGGTAGTACAGTCTGTCAGTTGGACTGCCTGCTTGGCGCCTGTGTGGTGAGCTCATGCATGTGGTCAGCAGTGGTCTGTTAGAGGGGACTTTGTGATATGGTTTCAGGACTATTTCAGCCGCCTCTTTGTCTTTTGGATTTTGGACCTACTTTAACTTTTAAGTCATAAGTTTTCTGTTAAGATGCTTGCCAAGGTCATTACTGTGACCCTGCCAGTTACAGGGGACAAACAGAGCACACAAGATGTTAACTCCAAGAGAGTAGGTTTCAAGAGAAGGCATTGTTATCAGAGAGTCTTGACTGCACGTAATGAGGGTGATTAATTTTCTTTGCAGAAACACTATCAGAAGGCCTGGGATGAGGCCAAGGCGAAAAGCTATGACCTAAGAGCTGATGCCATTCCCATCAAGCACGCCAAGGCTTCCAGAGACATTGCTAGTGAGGTACAGTCTTCTCTTAATGTGGTTCCTGCGACTGTCTCTTCCTGTGTCCAGCTCAGCAGAACTGAGTGACGTTCAGTTCAAAGGGTTGACGACTTAGGAATTTGAAAGCCTTTTGTTTGTTAGTTGCATTCAGGTGAGCAATGTGCGGCTGCTTACGTTGTTTCTGCATTTCTAGTACAAGTACAAAGAAACGCACGAGAAGCAGAAAGGCCACTACATTGGGTGCCGAACTGCCAAGGAGGATCCCAAGCTGATGTGCGCCGCGCGTGCCATGTTGCTGCAGAACGACCGGCTTTACAGGAAGGCGTACCACGATTCAAAGGCCCAGGTCCACATCCCAGTGGACGCGATGGACTGTGCAAACATAGTTTCAAATTCATGTTTGTGAGCCTGCAGTCATTCGTGGTATGTTTATTTTAATTCATCTGGATGATCCTTTCCAAATCAGTAGTATTTTCAGCTTGGGGGCCAGAAATATTCCAGGCAGTTCACATGGAAAGAAAACTTATGTTTCTGATGTATTTTTGATCTGCTGCAGAATGTTTGCTTGCAGATTATGCCACTGGTTTGCATGTGGCAAGTATCTTTAAAAGACCAGTAATTTCCTTGCTGTGCAAGGCAGGGGTTTACCTGTGTATGGGAAGGACCTGTTACACCACAGTCTTGTTGATGCTTGCTGTGTAGCTGTATGAGAAGGAGCTTGGGGAAAGCCTTGTGTGAAACCCCTCTGTACATAGAGTTGTCTGTGCAACGTCAGTAACCCTTGGTTTATTTGTAGAATGTCTACAAGTCAGACCTGGAATGGTTGAGGGGTGTTGGCTGGTTGACAGAAGGTTCTGTGGATGTGGTCAAAGCCAAGAAAGCCCAGGAACTCCTGAATGAGAGGTTGTACCGGACGCGGCCGGAGGAGATGAAATTCACCAGCATTACTGACACGCCAGACGTTGTCCAGGCTAAGATCAATGCTTTGCAGATCAGTGATGTAAGCTTACCCTTCCACTTACCTTTCATTTATGTGATGACATTTCTATTCTTTGTGGTGGAGATTAGAATTTTGGCCATAAGAGTGACTAATTGGAAAGTATTGCAAATCCAAATTACCAAAGAATTCCTGTTGATGTCTTTTTTAAAGTGTTCAGACCATGGTGAAACGTCATTATGCTTCCTTTCTCCTTAGCGCCTGTACCATGAAGCCTGGGACAGAGACAAGACGCAGATTTCCATACCTTCTGATACTCCTGTAATGCTGCAGTCCAAAGTCAATGCTCTCAACGTCAGCAACGTAAGAGAATAAAATCATTATGTGTGTGAAGATTATTAAATTAAGAGCATGACAATTGCTCTTCCAGAGTAGGTTTCAAGAGAAGGCATTGTTATCAGAGAGTCTTGACTGCATGTAATGAGGGTGATTAATTTTCTTTGCAGAAACACTATCAGAAGGCCTGGGATGAGGCCAAGGCGAAAAGCTATGACCTAAGAGCTGATGCCATTCCCATCAAGCACGCCAAGGCTTCCAGAGACATTGCTAGTGAGGTACAGTCTTCTCTTAATGTGGTTCCTGCGTCTCTTCCTGTGTCCAGCTCAGCAGAACTGAGTGACGTTCAGTTCAAAGGGTTGACGACTTAGGAATTTGAAAGCCTTTTGTTTGTTAGTTGCATTCAGGTGAGCAATGTGCAGCTGCTTACGTTGTTTCTGCATTTCTAGTACAAGTACAAAGAAACGCATGAGAAGCAGAAAGGCCACTACATTGGGTGCCGAACTGCCAAGGAGGATCCCAAGCTGATGTGCGCCGCGCGTGCCATGTTGCTGCAGAACGACCGGCTTTACAGGAAGGCGTACCACGATTCAAAGGCCCAGGTCCACATCCCAGTGGACGCGATGTCAGTGCAGGCAGCCAAGGAGTGTCAGTCCCTAGTCAGTGATGTTGACTACCGGCACTACCTTCACCAGTGGACCTGTCTGCCCGACCAGAATGATGTGATCCATGCAAGGAAGGCCTACGACCTGCAGAGTGATGTGCGTATGTGTAGAGATGCAGTAGTTACTGTTGTTGCTATTTAATGTATTATAGCCTTATTCTGATGGTCTGATATTATGCAGTCACAAAGTATTTATCTTTCGACTCAATTTTTCATTTTACTGCTCTTACCTGCTCCTTTTATCCTTTAAAAAGTATTGGTATTACCTCTGAATTTTGTAAAAGCATTAGTAGTTGTCTGCTATGTTACATATGCTTTTGGAGTATTGTGATTTGGAGAGCATGATGGGTTTATCTCTCTTAATTTGATGGGGCTTATACCATCTGTTTACTACTTTGGAATCAGGTGGCTTTTATTACTCCTGTTTATCTGAGTCAACTTGTAAGATATGTAAGATAGCAGGTAAGATATTTTAGTGGCTGATTTCAAAGCAGGAGGAGTCAGTGTAGCTCATTTCCTGACCTGGGTTTGCTGGTTATCAGCCAACATCAGTCACTCTTCCCCTGTTTCAGGTATGAGCTTTGGAAGCGAGATTCTTGTTCTTTGTTAAAGAATTTACTCGATTAAAACATAAATAATGTTGCCTGTTACTATGTCAGAGTTATACCAGTTAGCTCTAGTCCCCATTACCTCTATAAACTCTTTTTTCCTCCTTTTTTCAAATTTCCTGGTTGGCAGGCAGCTTTTTTTTTTTGGACTTGTAAATTGTTGAAGTGACTAGAGGAGTAAGTATTTTGGAGGGGGCAGGAAGGCTGTTTTAAGATTGTAATACTCATCATCATTAACAGCAATTCTGTTCAGTTGTTTCCTCTCTATTTAACTGCATAATGTTTAGAACCTATTGTTTAAGAAATGAAGTACTTAAAACCTGGTTCCCAGACTGTATTTTACATATGACACTGAACATCTCTTGTATATGAAAAGGATTAATCTAGCCCTAGCTGATTTGACATTTTCTAAAACATGTACTGCTTTGTATAGTTTAAGATGGTTAAGACAGTCATTTTAAATGCAACGTTTTCCTTCTCTGACCATGTCTGATATAGGCTGTGTATAAGTCAGACCTGGAATGGCTCCGTGGAATTGGCTGGCTGCCTAATGACTCTCCGGATGTTAAGAGAGTGAAGCATGCCCAGGATCTCCTGAGTGATAACGTGTATCGTACACCTATCGAAAGCCTGAAATACACCAGTGTTGTTGATTCTCCAGACATCTGTCTAGCTAAAGTGAATGCCGAACAAGTCAGCATTGTACGTCACAATGTTCTTAACGTTGTTTTGAGGCTATGAACAGTTAAAGAGAAATCTCACTGCTAAAATATAAAATTGATCAGTGGTATTTTAAGTCAAGATTAATGCTTTTCCAGATACTTTATTTTTTAGAGATAAATCAGGAGAGATTTATGGGATATTATGATATTGACAAGTGAAATTCCGTAATTACAATATCATAAAATGAACTATTTTAACAGCCAAAATACAAAGAAGCCTGGGAAAAGGACAAGACTATGATCCATATTATGGCAGACACACCTGAAATCAACCTAGCCAAGGCTAATGCTGCTAATTATAGCCAGGTATGCTTATCATTCTACTTTCTACATTTCTATAAAATGGTATGTGTGACCTGTGAATTTTAACATTCTAAGACGTTACTTACAAAGTTGAAGATTAAGTCACATGAATCTCATTGTGGTCTGTCCTTGTACAGGGCTTGCAACATTTCCTTCCCTCTGCTGAGTGTACTTGAAGTATTTGGGCAATTTAAATTAAATGCTTGCATACAGCTGTTTAAAAATTATTCATATAATGCACCGCTGAGATAATATTTTGTTGAAATGGCTGAGGTCCTAAAGCATATAAATATTTTCTAAGCTCTTACAAACACCCTTCTATGCTGTATAGGTTGCAAAACTGGAGTTGCAGGTACTGTACATGTTTGAAAGGCAGTAAGATTTGCAGCAGTATTTATGGCTAGGAGCAAGAATAACACACACAAAATTCTCACAGTATTTCAGCAAACAAATGTCAGTAAACTATGTGTTTCTTCAATGACAAATGCTGGAGTATTTAGCATATGTGATATTTTGCTGTCTTTTCAGAAACTGTATAAAGAAGCTTGGGATGAGGTGAAGATAAGTTATGATTTGAGAGCAGATGCAATCCCAATCAAGGCAGCCAAAGCTTCTAGAGAAATTGCTAGTGATGTAAGTGCCAAAAGAGGCATCAAGCTCTTCACATGCTTTGAGAGCTATTTCATGATAACTGTTAGTAATGGTGATCTTTGCTCTTTCCCCAGTATAAATACAAACTGGAACATGAGAAGCAGAAGGGGCATTATGTTGGAGTTCCAAATGCAAAAGCAGATACGAAAATGCAGTTTGCTCTCGGCATAGGCAAAGTTCAGAGTGAACTAGAATACAAGAAACACTTTGCCAAATGGAAGACACAATGCCATCTACCAGTGGACATGCTGTCTATCCTGTCAGCTAAACATGGTCAGTCTTTGGTCAGTGATGTTGATTACCGTCATTACTTGCACCAATGGATCTGTCTTCCAGATCAGAATGATGTCATACAGGCTAGGAAAGCCTACGATCTTCAGAGTGATGTAAGTTAACATGAAAACTTAACTTATTACTGTATTGTCTCTTCTTAGTCTGCTTCAGCTCTAAGTAGTGGAAATCTTCTGCTGAATTCAGTGAATTGGCTTTGCTGTTTGTTAGGAATGCAAAGTATATGCCAGTGATATATGTTGCCAAGTTTCAAGTGTGATAAATTCAGATATAGTGCTCATGTTGGAATTACTCCTCTCCTTTTAACCAGTGGAAGTAAGTGCCATTATTTATGAATCTTGCTGGATTGTACAGGGGACTGTAGCTAACAGCGTGGGCCCTGTTTTGCTTTCCCAGGCTATTTACAAATCTGATTTGGAATGGCTACGGGGAATTGGATGGTTGCCAAATGATTCAGTTGGAATCAACCATGTCAAACATGCTGGAGACCTCCTGAATGAGGTAACAAAATGCTTTTCAATACTAAAATTTTCTTAACAATATTTGTAATGGTTAAATGCATTAATATTTTAAATAAAAAATACAACTGGAGTATTTCCACAGCATTCATTGTGTATGGAGAGGTTTTCTTTCCATGTAAACTTTCTTCTCCTGTGTACGTATTCAGAATTGCTGTCTTAGTTATAAAATATTCCAGTACAAACTGACTGTTCATCTTTTCTCTTGTATAGAGAAAGTACCGTACAAAAGCCGAAACTCTTCCATTTACTCCAGTAGCAGACAGAGTCGATTATGTCACAGCAAAGAAGAGTGGTGAAATTCGCAGTGATGTAAGTTTGCTAGCGTGTTTCCGGGCTCTTAACTTGGTCTGTATATTTACATAGTAGGATGTTACCTTTAGAAGGGTATTTTAAAAAAATGCAAAAGAATTCTTGATCAGTCTCTGGGAATTCTGTGGATGTATGACATAAAGATGAACGGGACTTCACTCCTCCCCATGTCTTATGAGGAAAGAAGCTTCTCAAGCAGAACAACATGTTTCCTAGACATGTGAAAAGCCAGTGCTAGTGCTGCAACCAGTCCCTTCTTTCACTCTTGGCTGATATCACTGGTGATCATTGGTAACATGCACATAAATAACCACTTGCACTCTGGCAACCATAATGTTCAATCCTTCTCACTTATGCCAATGAGTTTAGACTTTTTAGTTAACTGCTGTGTAACAATAAACATGAGCAAAACCGGTGTGCTGTCAGCTTGCCATTCTTTATATGTTTTTGAAGGCTGGTGAGCTGTGAGGAGCTGGTCTGTGAACATGAAATGACACGACCCCCTCTCAGTTCGTGTTTCTTTTTTGCTATATGCTTCTGTGAGAGAACAGGCCAAGCTAAACACATTAACTCAAACACTGGTGAAAGGCTGGCAATAACAATGATATGGTTGAATTAGATGGCATACTGCCATGCAACCACATAACCACATTTGGGCATGTCCTCTGCTTGTAACATGACTCAGTGTACACATCTGTGGTTGGGAGGTGCTGGAATGCTGCGTTCACGTAGAGATCGTGCTGAGTAAAGAGATTTGCTTTTAAAAAGCTTGAAGTCTATTGCCCTGGTTCAAACACTTCTTGCTTGGCTATCGGCTGTGCATCCCTGTAGACCAAACAGGTAGCGGAACTTTGACTTCTGAAGACTTTTCCCTGTCCATCCAGCTGCCTTGGAACAAGTTTTCAAAATTTTCTCTGAAAAATTTTATAATTTCTCATCTTGTATAATTTCCTTTTAAAAAAATACCCATTTGGATGTATATTTAATGTGTCATGTCTAATAGCCTTGCAAATTTAGGATTTTATACATTATGTAATGCATAAAATATGGTGTTTGCTATTATGTTTTCGCAATTTTGTGATGGTGCTGCAAGACAGTCATTTCTTTCTCTGTTCTAGATTAAATACCACGAAGCATGGAATGAGGTCAAGTCAAATTATACTCTAACAGATACACCACAGCTAGATATGGCCCGAGAGGCAGCCAGAATTCTTAATCAGGTACGTGATCTTTCCTTGACAGTTTCTACTCACATTAATAACTCTTCCAAGGAATTTAGAAAACTTACCTTATTAAGAACATCCTAAAGGAAGGATTTGTTACATATATATGGTAATAATTATCATTATAGTAGTGCTGAATTCCTCCTCACCTTTATTTTCCGCAGAATTTATACAAGGAAAGTTGGGAGAAAGAAAAAGCCACTGGTTACCTCTTACCTCCCGACACTGTGCAGATCTGTCATGCCAAACGCTCAAATGATGTCCAAAGTGAGGTAATAATTTTTCTCATTAGGAAGGCAGGTGCTTGGAAGCCTGGAAATGTAAAGGCCTTGCAAATTCAGTAACGGACATAGAAAGCTTTCCATTAGGGGTATCATCCAGTGTACTTTTCACGACCTGTGAAGTCCACTGTCCTACAAACAATGGGGTTTACAGATATCAGTGCAGAAAGGTCAGATTCTCCTTTCCACCTTCGCTTTGTCCTGAAGCAGCCCTTTCAAAATCAACTAAGGTGGACTTCCATATTTTATGAATATTAAATAATTTAAGTGATATTATGATTATAATATATAGCTTTGATTTCATTTTTTGGCATATTATGGAGGCTTTCTCCCTAAAAAACTGTAAGGTGTTATTCACGTTACATTTTAAACTTTTTTGTAATGGCTGTTGAAATTATTACATGACTCTGAGTTTGAATATACATTGTATCAAAACAACGTGATGTAAATACCTTAAGCCTGCACTCTTCAGACAGTCTCAATTTGTTACAAAAAAATGTTACAAAACTGAGGCTAAATGCACTTATTAGCAAACATTTTGTAACAGGGCTTTCCACTTGTGTTGAAAATGCTGTTTACTGAAAAACGGTAGCATATTAGTCCCGGTTTTGAAGTGGAAGGACTATGCAAAGTAACATTACTGTTTGTGTCATATTTTTATCTGGCCGCATACTGAAAACCTAAGACTGCAGTTGACATCTCTGTCTCATCTATTCTTTGTGTTGACAAAACCATAGCTGTTCGCAGATACACTCAGTGCTGATTTTATACATATTTCTCCCCTCTTCCATCAGCTTAAATACAAAGCTGACTATGTCAAACAAAGAGGTCACTATGTTGGAGTTCCCAGTATGAGAGATGATCCAAAACTGGTGTGGTTTGAGCATGCAGGCGAGATCCAGAATGACAGATTGTACAAATCAGACTATCACAAAACAAAGTCCAAAATTCACATCCCTCCGGATATGATGTCAGTTATGGCAGCAAAGGAATGTCAGACCTTGGTCAGTGATATTGACTACCGCCAATACCTGCACGAATGGACATGCCATCCTGACCAGAATGACTGTATTCAGGCAAGGAAGGCCTACGATCTGCAAAGTGATGTAAGTCATATTGCATACATACTATGTAATTTCCACTTAGTTTGGTCTAAGAATACTGTCCATATTACGTAAGACTGAAAAATGTCGTCCTGAATTAAAGCATTTCTTTCCTTTTTTATTACCTTTTATGATTTAGAATATTTATAAATCTGATTTGGAATGGCTTCGTGGCTGTGGTTGGATTCCTCTGGATTCAGTGGAACATAAGAAAGTTAAGAATGCGCAAGAACTGATAAATAAGGTGAGAGAAAATGTTTTAGCAGTTATGCGATTACCTCTTCTTCCTCATGCACAGTGTTTAAGAAAACATTTCTTCTCTTTGCAGAGAGCGTATACGAAGGAAGCCCTTGATAACTTTTCCAATTATACCAGTGTGGTTGACACTCCTGACATTGTTTTGGCAAAGATGAACTCTGTCAATCAGAGCGATGTATGTACTTTTCTTAAATAGAGACTGTTATATTACTAGAACTAGTAGATGACTTAATTGCTTTTGCTAAACTGAACTATACTGTGTTTAGTATATGTGTGTGTGCATATGCATGCTTCATTAATAATAGACTTTTACTGGGGTAAATAAGTTTAGTAAGAAGTGATGTAAATGAACAGCACAATAGTGCTATCCAAAATAATTTTGCATTTGTCTGTAGAGGAATATAGCATCCCCCTTATTTACAGTTTACAGAGATTTTGCTTCTAGTAGTTCAAAATGGAGTCCTGTTCTTAGTGAACAGCTGTTAGTTGCAAAGTGCTACTGGCATTCGTGGTGTTGCGACTAACCTGGATTTGCTGATCAGTATGTTTAATTTCACTCGAATACTGTGTGGATTTTGTGGTGTGACATACTGATGACATTTACCTGCGTCCTGTTGTGGTTGGAATGTACACACAACATTATTGAAGATATGATAACAACAGAAAATTAATGTCTACTTCTAATAGATGGACTAGTTGGGATAATTCACTTCTCCTGTGGAATTAACATTATGTTTGTTTTCTTTTGTAGCTAAAATACAAAGAAACGTTTAACCTTGAGAAAGGCCAGTATATCGGGTCTGATGATACTCCTGCACTGAACCATGCCAAAGACATGGCCTTACTCTACAGCGATGTAAGATTCAATGAATATCTAACTAAGCTTTAATTTGTTTGGTTTGAAAGCAACAGAATGTGGAGTGGACTTCAGAAAACTGTTCTGTTTCTGTCATTAAACTACTGGGTGGCACTGGGAAAGTTATTTAATCTCTTCTTTCTTCAGTTTTTCCCAGCTTAGATCATTGGGATAGGGATAACTTCTTTCCTTATTGAACTGATCTTAAAGCACTGCTGTGTGGTGCTTGGAAGTAGTAATAGCAGCAGCAGTAGTAGTAAAGTTTGTGTGACAAAACAAATTTATAGTTCCATCCAATGATATATTCCTAGATTACTGATGAAATTTACATTTATGTTTTTATAAGAGAGGAAAATTGTGGATGATTTACATTATTAAGCAGTTACTTTTGTGTAGTCTCACTAATTTTAATTTGGGAAATCTCTAATTTTTGAAAATGTGACACTTATTCATATGAGTAGGTGCTTCATAATTTAGTGTGAAGGTAAATATATTTAATATTAATATTAATAATTTAATATTAATATTAACAAAATATGATGTGTTAGAAAAGTGCCACTAACACGGTTAATGCTCTTATAATAAACAATAGTATTCATTGAAGATTTTTTACAATTTTGAACATGTAGCTGTAAAATTATCAATGTCAATTCTACACTTTTAAACAAGAGTTCATATTTAAATTTTGGATATTTTTATTACTCTTCTGGATGAGTAATTTTGAATTCCAAATATAGTAAAGAAATCAGAGATCAGCTCAAATTTGTGCTCTGGTACCTTCCTGAACTGGAATACTTATTCTGCTTGCTTTAGTTACACTGAATATTGTTCAAAATGAACATTCTTCATTTACTTCATTGGGACAATTCATGGAATAAAGAACTACTCTATAAAAGTAGTCGTATTGCATATGCATATAAATGGCAGAGTTAGGTGTTTTGGAAAATATAATGGATTTTTTTTATCAAAATCTGTATGTGTTTTGTTTGTCTAGAAACTTTATAAAAAAGCTTGGGAAATCAGCAAGCCCATTGGGTATACTTTGGATGAGAAATATATTCCACTTGTTGGGGCAAAGCGCGCAAACTATGTAAATAGTGAGGTTAGTATGAATTTTCATTCTTTCTGGGATTTTTTTCCCCATATGTTGTTAGAATGAACTTTAAAATTTCCACATGAATATTTTTCAGCTTAAATATAAGGAAATATATGAGAAGCTGAAAGGCCATTACCTGGCTGGGAAGGAGATTGGTGATTTCCCCAGTGTCGTTCATTCGCTAGCATTCCAGAAAATAAGGAGCGCGGTAAGGAGAGAATTAATCTTGCTGTAGTATTTTTTGTTTTCTTTATTTTAGTATGACATATTTAAACATGAATAATGCAATGCTTAATGACATGAGTAAAAGTGTTTTCACCGTGTTTATGTTTCCTGAATGGTTATTTTGTATATGAGTTGAATAATTGAACTTGAAATGATGTAGGAGATAAAAAGGGATTTGTTTAGCTGTTAGACATATTAGAATAAGGAAAGTAACTTTCTTCTATTTCTGTTTAAGAATGTGAGCAGTAAGAAACACTACATGACTTGGGATTCTTTTGCTTTAAAAAAAAAAGTATTAATTTTGAATTGAAACAGGAATTTAAGAACTGGAAAAGTAAATGCACATTTGGTGTTTTGTTATTATCACCACTGCAGATACAGCATGTCATGCAGGGCATAAAGTTAGCATAATCCCAAATATTCTGTCTTCATTCAGACAGGGAGATTTAACTAGATTAAAAACATGTTTGTAGCATATGACTCTTCCTATCTTGAAGTCTTTTTAATTTTCTCACCAGCTGTTAAATCTGCAAGTGAAGATAATTCTTGTCCTTCTAGAACCTTACCAGAATAAATGGTGATTAATATAGAAGTTAAGATTTCATCTTCTTGAATCCCATGGGAGTTTAGCTACCACGTCCAGAAAGCATGCCTCAGGTTATGCTATAACCTGTAGCCTATTAGAGTCAAAATCATGCAGAAAACCACTATTCTCTCCTCTCACCTTTTGCCCAATCTTTCCTTTTTAGCTGGCATACAGAAAGAATTATGAAGACACCAAAGCAAATGTCCATATTCCAAGTGACATGATGAATCATGTGCTAGCCAAGAAGTGCCAGTACATCCTCAGTGATCTCGAATACCGAACTTACTTCCATCAGTGGAATTGTTCACCTGAAGAAAATGATGTTGTTCAAGCCAGAAAAGCCCAGGAAATTCTGAGTGATGTATGTGTTTCATTCATTTGTTTTGACATTTTAGTAGCCTTTCATGTAATTTTTTCCAAGGTATTTAAATATAAACCACTTTCAAATATCTTTCATAGTATTTAAATATGAAATTAATAACCATGGTCTTAGATTGCTTCGTAGCATAGTACCAAAAATTACATTTTTACAGTTTTCTTTGGGACATTTTAATGGTCTGGTTATTTATTATTCATTTGTAAATTGGAAAAAAATTAAATTAACATTTATGAAACCTTCCCAAAGATCAATGCTATCAACACATAATCTCTCTTTGGCTGGATGAGACTGTATAGGAAGCTTCCTATCTGGCACATGCAGAGAAGAGATGTGGATGTACCAGGGTACAGTCAGAATGTCGCTGCACTGCAGTGCTTGTTATGTATTGTAATTGGGAGTGTTGTAATTTGCACAGGGGCCAGGACAGCATCCATGATCCTCCTGGGTCTGGAAAAGACTTCTCTTTGTTCATTTGGTGTTCTATCAGGCCACAGAGCCTGAGCTGAGTGAATGGCACGCTGAACCATGACACTTCTTCATATTACATAGTCAACAGTATCTCAACTTGGGCCAACCAACCTTCCTAATAAAATCTGGTGATGTGTTAATTGCCTGGCCTATTACTATGCTGTATTGTTTGGTTTAGTTTCCCTTGCAGATCCTGTGGGTAAAAATCGTTCAGTCAAACTGTGAGATGGGATAGTCTTCTCTCTGCTTGCATTTACACTCCCAAATAGATTGGAATTACTGGATGAGTCTGGGTCAGATTCAGCGGTAACCTTCTGCATTGAGTTTGCACAAGTGGAAGATGCTGAATATAGAGAAGAAACAACTACTTTCTTCAAGCAGAAGTCAAATTTCTTCCTAACTTAATACTCTGTTTTCTTCCATATAGGTGGTGTATAAAGATGACTTAAATTGGCTGAAGGGACTTGGATGTTATGTCTGGGATACTCCACAAATCCTGCATGCTAAAAAATCATATGACCTCCAGAGCCAAGTAAGCATATTTTCCTCAAATAAGTAAGTATTTATAAGGGTTTTTTTCTTCTATTTAAGATTCACTGGGACTGACAATTGTCCTGGTCCAGAGCAGAATGAAGTAATTCCTATTACAGCAGAAATATCTTATTCAATCTATTATAATACGCTCTTTCAGTTTCATCTGTAAAGACATGGTCACTTTTGTTATCGGTGGAGCAGAAAACTTAGGAGGATGGAAGGACAGCAAGGCTGTGGCTTTTAGCAGTAAGAAGATAACACTTTGTCTTTCTGTATGCCACCCTGTGCACAAGATACCTCGATGAGACATTTATGCTGGGAAAAACAGTGTCTCTTGCCTTGCTGATGTAATCTTGGCCTACTAGATGCTACACAGTGGTGTGCAGTTTTCATTATTCCTTCGTTCGTACTGGCTGTATATTGTGTTTCTTTTCTATGGCCTGTCACTTTTAAAGTTGGTCTTACTGGGCCACCATCCCGGGCTTCAGCAGTCCAGAACTGATTTTAAAGGAAGCCAGCAGGGAATTTCCCAGCCGTTTTCAACGTTAATGTTTTTGTTTTGTTTTGTTTCCTTAGATAAAATATACAGCTGCAGGAAAAGAGAATTTTCAGAACTTTGGTGTTGTTACTGACACACCTCTCTACGTGACTGCCGTGCAGAGTGGTGCAAATGCCAGTGACGTGAGTCTCCCCACTTCTTCTACTCAGGCTTTTCCCTGTGCCCCTTCTGAGAATTGAAACAAGTTAACTAAATCTGTCTTTCATCTTACAGGTGAAATACAAGCAAGATTACCACAAAACTAAGGACAAGTATACAACTGTGACTGAAACAGTGGATTCTGAAAGAGTTCAAAATTTGAAACATCTCTTTAGCAATGTAAGTGTTTCTACACATTTTGTTTTCTCTTAAGGTGCTACTATTTGGAATTTTTGTTTTATTTTGTTTGTTCACTCTGAAGATAAACATCCAAACGTGGAGCTTATCAAAGCCAGTGATAGCCTTCTGCATTACTTCAGTATGGGGAAGATGCTGTATTTCAGGCAGAGGGCATATTTTCTAACTGTAGTTCTAGTCTTGTCAAAATACATGCATTAATAAATTGATTCCCTGAAGAAAATTTCACCTGAACAAAATTAAGACCTTGTATGAGAATGAACATGAATTGTTAGAAAGCATTTTTGTCATCTTTTATGTGCACTGTCAAGGCTAAACTAGTGTACAGCCTCTTGAGATTAAGTAATAGTTATGGCATATAAATAAAAACAGAAGGGCTTTTGGTTTCAAATGGTTTCAGAAGAAGAATTTTTCCACTGACAGATTTTCAATTTCCCCATAGAATCTCTACAAGGAAGCCTGGGAAAAAGTGAAAGCTACTGGCTATATATTGCCCTCTGATGCTGTATCCCTAGCACGTGCAAAAGAACTGAAGCATAATGCTAGTATTGTAAGTGAATAAAATTCCTTTTTTTTAATCAGATCATCAGTTCTAGCAATGGAATCTCTCGTGCCTTGCATATACTATAGGTGTAAAAAAGTCTTTTTTTAAATTCTATTTTTAATTGAGATATAATATGTATCTGTAGATAGTAAGTTTTCTGTGATAATTATTTGGGTAACAGATAGTCCTTTGCTGTTTCTCTTCATGGAAAAAATGTCACATTTTGTAGTAATAGAAACTGTTCCTTGAAAATGTCTGGTTAGGGTTTATTTTAGTCTAAATTGCATAAGCATCCAAGTCAGAAAAACACCAAATGTCTTTAAATGATGTTTCACTGAGTAAAGAACATAATCTTGTGCTTTACTGAACTGAGGCTTATGAGAGATCACGCTCTTCACAGATATCTTCACATGAAAGAGCTAGAACAATAAATAGATAGCTTATTCTACATCTATTTATTCTTAAAGTGTTGTTATTTTTCCAACATGATAGTTATGATGTGCTTGCTTTGCCATTTAAAATAAAATAGAAAACCACGATCCTGCTTTAAAGACTTTCTCTGCTTGTTGGACTCAACTACATATTTTGCTTACTGATGAATGTTGTTCCAAAAATACAATTGACTCATTGGAGTCGGTTATTTGTTGCCTTTCTTTGCATCTGCCTAGGTAAAATACCGAGAAGAATATGACAAGTTTAAAGCACTGTACACACTACCCAGAGGTGTTGAGGATGACCCCAATACAGCAAGGTGCCTTAGAGTTGGAAAGCTTAATATTGATGTAAGTGTTGTTTTCTGAAGTGTGTTTTCCTGACAAAAACATACTTACCTCAGAAGAGGCTTCTCAAAGAATCCACATGCCTTCATTCAGATACCACGTTTCCACATGCATTTGGCAGTATTCAGTGTTTGCTAAATTCTATAATACACTTATGAATGTCTTTTCAAGATTGTGACTCAACTGTTAAATTGCTTGCATGGCTAAACCTTTAGTGTAATATGCTCATGTATAAAGCAGAGCACTAAATAGTCTACCTCCTTTTAACACGTGAGTACAATGAAAATTTGACGAATCATATTTTATCAGCCTTGTTAAGGTTCTGGAAATTATTTTTAGAGCAGGCAAGATGTAAATTTCACTCACAACCAAAGCAATTGCTCTCCCACTAACCTTCCATGAAAATATCGATAATTATGTTTCAAATTTATCAACAGTTAATGCTTCAGACTATTTGTCAGCATTATTAATGTACTGCTTTAACTCTGCAGCGTCTGTACAAGGAAGTCTATGAAAAGAATAAAGCCAAAGTCCACATTATTCCAGACATGGTAGACATAATTTCTGCTAAGGATGCACAGAAGAAAATCAGTGAAATTGATTACCGCACACATCTCCACGAATGGATCTGTCTACCAGATCTTCAAATCAATGCTCATGTTCGAAAAGTAACGGATCAACTTAGTGATGTAAGTTCACAAATCATGTGTTCGTGGCTCTTTCTAAAAAGATTCTTGCATTTGTGCAATGTTAGCGGAAATGATTTGGCAAAAACTTAGTTGGAGCACTCTGAAGTTGCCACTTGAATCCGTGGTACTAGGCACTGCTAAACAGCATCTGTATCAACTTTTGCCATCAATTTTTGTAACACTTGGCAGTAAGTGCGTAGTTGAGATGTGGCTTCATACCCATAATTTCAGTGTTGTTAGCATAGGCACTGGGTCATAACATTACAGTTCTACCAGTTCAGCCGTCCCTGGCTGTAAATTGTCCTTTATTATTTGGTTGCAATAAGGTGTGGAAACTTTGGAAGTTTGAGAAAATCCTGGTGGCGTGAAGCTTCTATGCACTTGCCTTGTATAGGTCAGCCCAGGAGTAGGCCAGCGATCTAGCAGTATATCATTGCCCACTAGGATATGCAAGTAGGTTTTTTTTAAAAAACATTGGGTTTTTTATTTATTGGCCAAACTGAAGCAATGAAGAAAAATTATTTAAATGCCAAAAGGAATTGTTTTGATTTTCTCAAACAAAAAATAAAATAGTCAAAGTACTGGCAACCTTACTTGCCATAACTTGACTGTCATGCTTCAGACTGATTTAGCAATAAGGGATTAGATGCTGGTGGAAGTCTTACAGATTGCTTCTTTGCTCTGATACCTTAGGTGGTATACAAGGATGATCTTAACTGGCTGAAAGGCATTGGCTGCTTTGTTTGGGACACTCCTGAAATTCTCCACGCCAAACATGCCTACGATCTTCGCAGTGATGTGAGTGGATACACTGGTTTTGCTTCTTAGGTTTTTTTCACTCTGTTGGATTAAAAGGATGGAGTAGCTTTATTCTACTCTGCATATAATCTGGAAAATGTTATATATCCTTCCCTACTGAAGTATTCCTTAAATAACCACATATGGTTATTTAAACTTTGATGCCTTGGAAGTAGATATTGTCAGGTTACATCCCATTCAGGAAAGCATTAAGCATATGTTTAAATACTTGTCCTCTCAGGAGAGCGCTTAAAACAGTAACTCTTCATTCAGAACCCTTGAAGTAAAGCAGAAATAATGCAGAATTCGTATTTTTAAGAAAGTATTTTGTTCTTGATTTTATGATTACTTTTTCTCCTCTCAAGATCTTATGACACATCCTTAGTTTGAGATTAAGCTATTAAAATGGGAGAATAACCATTCTGGTTTTCAAGAGTGTATATCCCTTTAAATTCTGCGTCAGAAGTATGTTGGGTATTTATTATAGAATCATAGAATGTTTTGGGTTGGAAGGGACCCCTAGAGGTCATCTAGTCCAACTCCCATTATGCGGTACCTATGCCTATTCTAAGAATGAGCATTGACATTTCCTGATATTCCTTGATAAAACTTATCAGCTGTTCTTATCTAGTAGGGTGCTGTGCTCATTTAGGCAGCCAAATTTCAATACACTTTCTACTTAAATGATGGCTCACCGATAGAGTAGTTCAGTAATAAAATAAATAGTAAATAAGGTAAACATAAGAATATAATGAATTCAATTAACAATGAATACCCTTACTAATTAGAGGTCTTGAATTTCTCTCTGCAGATTAAGTATAAATCTAAGGCAGAAAAAATGAAGAATGACTACACTGTGGTCATGGACACTCCTGTCTATGTCCAGAATGTCCTCAGTGGCTTGAATTTAAGTGAAGTAAGTGTTTGTATCACCTTTCACCCCCAATATTGCATATGCCATTAACTGACAAGTTCTAGAAATGTGACTTTTAATATTTTTTTTAATAATTTCATTTTAATAATTTAATCATTGCTGGTTATCTACAACTCATTGCCTATGCCTTTATTAAGATATGAGAACATGATCACTAAAATCATTAATTGCCTGAATCCAAAAAAACTTTCATCCAGTTTTTTAGAAGAAATTCCTGCATATATGCAAGCAATAGATACTGTGAGAGAACATCACGATTATGACTCTCCTCTAATTACTTTTTCTTTTCCTCAGGCTGTCTATCGTGGTGAATATATGCACAATGTTAAAGGAAAAATGATTCCTACTGATAAAACAGTAGATTTGGAGCGGGCATATCATGCAAACAAAATACAGAGTGAAGTAAGTATAAAACTTCTGGGTCCACAGAGTTTCTGATATTCAAAAAGCAACTTCTTCAGAAGTTAATGTCTGTCTTTAGCTAGATTTCCCTGCTCTAAAATGAAAGTGGGAAAATGTCCTCCTTTAAGCTAAAGTATGCATTATAATGTAGACGTGGGGGAAGTCTTTTGCCAGTTGCGATTAAGAGATTTCCTATGCAGCTATGAATACTCTCAAATATTACACACAGTTGTCACAAACTCTCTCTTTCTTTTGTAGAATTTGTATCGCTGGGCTGGTGTGAATGCTCTGCCTACTGGATACAGCCTCCCCACAGATACCCCCAGCTTTCAGCACGCTAAACATGTCCAGTACATTGGCAGTGATGTAAGTAATGTACTAAGTCCTTCTCCAGCATGAGCTGTGGGGGAATATTTGATGCCCATCCTGTATGAACACACAACCATTTGAGACAGTTATTTCTCAGATATGTGATGGCTTGTCAGGGAGCAACAAGAGTGGTGTAGTTCCATGTGGATGCCTGAGCCAGGAACTGAGGGTAACCATGACATAGCAGTGACCTCATCATCCAGGGTGAAGTCCCAATGTACCTGAATGGGGTGGGCAGAGAAGGGTGCTGATAACAGGTTGCATCAACAGTCCCAGACAAGGTGAGGAACCAGGGTCAAGGCCCATCCAGGGGGATCCAGTCAGGAGCTGCGGGAAACAAAGCAGAGATTGGAGACAAGCTACCTACAACACAGGTCCAACATAAATCCAGGAGACAGGACTAGAGATGAGTTACTGATAACATAGAACCAATATCCATCCAAGAAATGAGGACCGAGACAGGGCTGAAGACAGACGTGCTTACAACATAGCATCCCAGGTGTGGCTAGTCAGGGCGATTAAATCTTAGTGCACTCAAGCCCCAACACTGATAATGTTTGCCTTAACAGAATGTAAGTGTTAGCAAACCCCATATCTATCTGAAGCAATTACTATGAAAATATAAATTTCCTCAGGCAGATGTGAATACCTTATTAGATGCAAGAAATATTTAAAACTTTATTAATCTTGGGCCACATGATAAAGATACAAATGGTGATGTGTAGTGTATTTAACTCTGACATAGCTACATCTCACTTGTTTTTCTCTCAAAATCTGGCTCTTTATACTGCATAAATTACTGTCAGAATTGCAGTGTAAGTAGAATCAGAATCAAATTTAGTTTCTGCATTTGTTCCTTTTTCCACTTTACAGCTGAAATATAAAGAAGCCTATGAACACATGAAGGCTAAAGGCTATACTCTGGGACCTAAAGATGTTGGGTTTGAAAATGTGAAGAAAGTGAATCAAGTCATTAATGAGGTACAGTAAATATATATATTTGCTTTGAATTGTATTTGTTATGCCCAAAATATGAATGAGAGTATATTGACTGGGAAGGTTGTAGGATCCCTGTTCTTTAAGGCTTTTAAAAGCAGTTTAGACAAATACCCGTCAAGAATGGCAAGGGATCATTGGTCCGGGCTTGGAGTCAGGCTGTATGACTTTTTAAGGTTCTTGATAATTCTAACTTTCTGTAATCCTGTAAATCTGTTACCATAATATAAAATCAATTGCAACCTAATCTTATTAACCAATCTGCTGCTACTTGATTAAAGTTGAATAGAAATTATTGTATCTGTATGACATTGGGTCTCGATAGTTTTAGGTTTTTTTATATACATACTCAATTCTTTGATCATTGGCTTTAATAGGATGAAAATTAAACACACATATTTACATGTTTGTAGGATTAGAGTCTCAGATTATCCATGCAGTAGAAATGCTGCTATCAGAAACAGTTGTGGGAAATCTTTGCCTGGTTAGAAAATAATGTGTTTGCTCCCTTTTCTCTGGTAGTTATGCAAAACTTAAGAGAGGTACTTACACTCTGCCAAACTGTTTGCCATTTTAAGTTTTTAACATGTAGAATGCTGTCTCCTTTGATACAGAGGTTGTATCGGGCAACATACCACAAGTACAAGGACAAGATTCATACCACTCCAGACACACCAGAAATCCGTCAAGTCAAAGCAACACAGGAAGCTGTCAGTGATGTATGTGTCTTTCTAACATAAAAACCAGAAGAGATTTAGAATATTCAGTATGGCCAAGCATGTGAAATGCTATTCTTTCTTTGTCTTTCAGCTGATCTACAAGTCAGATTTCTTTAAGATGCAGGGACACTTGATTTCCTTGCCATACACTCCCCAGGTGTTGCACTGCCGCTATGTTGGGGACATCACAAGCGATGTAAGCAACTTCTGTTAAGATACCTGGTATTTGAATACAACAGCCCTAATGCTTTTATACTGAAAGTGGAATTTGGCTTCTATCATTTGCATTCTATTCTGTAATAAATAAATGCTTTGTCACTGTGTTTAGGGACTGATTAATAAAATTATCCCAAAAGTTAACTTTTGATTTTTCTTTTTCTAATTGCCTCATAGAATAAATACAAAGGGGATCTGAAGTGGTTGAAGGGCTTGGGTTGTTTCCTGTATGATACTCCTGATATGGTCCGTGCTCGTCACCTGCGTAAGCTTTGGGTAAGATTTTTCTTCTAAGAACCATGTATAACAACGACTGATTTATTTACATGCATCCTGTGTACTTCCAGGAAGCTAAGTACATGAAAATGAGTAAAGACTTAAGACAGAATTTCTTGCCACGCAGCCAGTTAGTTGTTTCAGAGCACAGTTAGGTTACACTGTAAAATTTTCTTTACTATCAATAACATTAAGAGCTTCCTAAGTAATACTGCTTTTCTTTTTCCAGTCTAATTATATATACACTGATACTGCAAAGAAGATGTGGGCTAAATACAACGTGGTATTGGATACTCCTGGGTACAGAGCGGGTCAGGAACTAAAAACCCATTTGAGTGAAGTAAGTTCCATATTATTTTTGCGCATCGTTGTTAGCTATAATTAAGTTCAGAGCCTCTCACTGTTTTTTTCTGAAATACATGAGATGTTATAATTGCAAAGCTGTGATTGTTCAGCTGCTAAATGAACATATGTAACAGAAGAAATAATTCATGGACTTGTCTTTTTCCAGCTGGTTTACAGAGCTGCAGGCAAGGAGCTGAAGACAAAATACACTTCCATCCTTGATACACCTGACTTCTTAAGAGCCAAGCAAGGACAAAAAATACAGAGCCAGGTGAAAAATTTGTACTGATAAAAAAACCCAATCTGGGGTTCCCTCTTAATGTACTCTTAAAGTACAGCAAATTCTTCCCACTGACAGGACAAGGGGCAATGGGCACAAACTGAAACATAAGAGGTTTCAGCTGAACGTGAGGTAGAACTTGTTTACCTTGAGGGTGACAGAGCCCTGGCCCAAGCTGCCCAAGGGGGGCTGTGGTGTCTCCTTCTCTGGAGATACTCAAAGCCTGCCTGGACATTGTCCTGTGTACCCTGCTCTGGGTGAGCCTGCTTGAGCAGGGGGGTTGGACTGGATGATATCCCAAGGTCCCTTCCAACTCTTGCTGTTCTGGGATTCTGTGATTTCAAAGCAATGTAGAATTCCTAGAGCGGACGTTTAAAATGACTGTTGCTCATTTTTAAGTGGCTATGAATTTTCATGTTGACCATGTCTCTGTAATGGTCATGGTCAGCTTTGTCCATCTGAAATAGAGCATTGAACCCTGGTACAGTGCTGTTCAAATTCTCTGAAACTCGGACTTCATCAGAGGAATAAATATTTTTATCCATCTACCTTTATTTGTCATCATTTTTTTATTCATACAGTAGTTCATTATCGGGGGTATTAGCTACAAATTTTGTGGAATTTTTAAATTTGCAGAACAAAAGGAAGATACTCACCAGAGAAAAACAGACCTTACAGATGCTGTATCTAAAGCTAGGTCTGAATGTAGGGCAGAGAGGTCATGGATGTCACATGCATTTGCCTTCTTGGTTTGTGAGCAGAATAGCAAGAGTACTGAGAGAAAGATGAACTGAGGTAGTATGGAAGAGGAAAGGGCACTTTATTTTTCCTGGGGTAAATTCTGTGGTTATGTATCCATTGTGAATTTACAGATATTTTTCAGAGAGATAAAGTAAAGTTTACTTGAAATGTGTAATTTTTTTACTGTTTTCTTCTTGCTGCAGTACTTGTATGTGGAACTGGCCACAAAAGAGAGACCCCATCATCATGCTGGTGGTCAGACTCCAGCCTTTACACATGCTAGGCATGTAAAGGACATGGTCAGTGAGGTAAGATATTTGCATTTTTTGTTTGGTACCACTAGACTGAACTGTTTAGAAGCTTTATTTCTAATTTTAGTGATAGTTTCAAGGCTCGAATCTGTTTACCATTTGTTTAGTTTTCTGTTATGCTGAAGTTCCACATTTCCTTCATAAGTTGTGGTAAAAAAGTACACTTTTTTAATATGTTTTAATATGTTTTAGTATTTTATAAGATACCTGTTTCTTAAGTGCTTGTTTGCAGAATCTGAGGTACACTGGCTGCAAGACCAGGAAGACCTAGAAAGAGCAGAACAGCTGAGCTTGTTTCCCAAAGTTTTGATGGAAACACTTTGCAAGAATTACTTTATTCACTTGGTGTAGCACCCCTGGTCATTAACATAATACCAGAATAGCAAATCCTTCTATGATTAAAGATATAACTTTTTGCTTTTGCTCTCTCTCTTAGAAAAAGTATAAAACCCAGTATGAGAAGATGAAGGACAAATACACGCCTGTCCCTGACACACCGATCTTGATCAGAGCCAAGAGAGCATACCTGAACGCCAGTGATGTATGTAGTCCATGAACACTTTCTCTGCTGCTTTTTCTTGGTTTCTTTACAAAAAGAACAGAAAAAGGATCAATGGGGAGCAACCATGCAAAGCATAGAATATCTCAGTGTGGGTCTTAAACTAGGTCACTCCATCTGCATGTACATTTCCATTTGATATTACAGATATTATTAAGTTGATGTCACTGTAATGCTTTTTTTCATTTATTATAATTCAGTTTCATTTTCTGTTGCACTGAAGTGTGGTCTTGCAACAAAATAAAAATAGGTTTAAAGTAATGTGCTTACACATGACATCTCCAAATAGTGCACAGTGGAGTGAAATGATTGATGCTGGAGCCAGGGTAGAATACCTTTTATCAGATACTTTCATCTCAGTTTTCTGTTAGAAGTAAACTTACATGTCACTGAGAATGTGCTCATTTTTTTAACTTTTCCCTCTAATCTGCTTCCAAATTACCTGAGCTGCTGCACAGAAGGTTATTAAGGTGAAATTGATTTTTCCTTCAAGCATGGAATAGTGATTTGTGATTTAAGGCAATGGCTAAGAGTACTCTACTCATTCAGGAGATCTTTCCTATATATTTCAGATTGTGCATTGTGTCCTGAAAGGATATGTGCCGGGCTGGTGTTTTGTTCTAGTGATTAGTCTTACTTCTCTCTTAAGAATGATTTTTAAATTCTGCAGAGGAGCATCCCAGTTCCCTTGCACATCTGAATTTCTCCTCTGTGAAAGTCTTTCTACAGACTGGAATGATCTTCCTGCTTTCTTCTACATCAGGACATGGAAGAAGGGATAAGTGGGGGGTTTTATGCCAAAAGTGGCACTGTCACTGTTCTAGAGAGTAGTCCTGTGATACACAGATGCTTTTTCCTCAAGCGTCAGTCTGAAAGTTAATAGGATGAAATGTAGATGTGCCAACTCCTTTCTCTCTAATTTTCACCATAAGTCTTAGTCAAATGGCAATTGATTGTAGGCAATTGCAGCTTCTTAAAATTCCTCAGGGCTTACATTAAGGATGTTGGACAGCAACACATCCCTGGATGTCATTCCTAAGAGGTAGTAAAGTTAACTAAACTTGTTCCTGACAGATAAATATAATATATACTTTTATATGTTATTGTTCTTACCAGTTGCGCTACAAAGAAACCTTTGAGAATACCAAGGGCAAATACCACACAGTGAAAGATGCTTTGGATATTGTCTATCATCGAAAGGTCACCGATGATATTAGCAGTGTATGTATACAACATTTTCATTCCTAATTAGTGTTTGTCATTTAATAACCTAGAATATGCCATTATGCTGTTGTTCTATTTAAGTGCATCAAATAATTAGAAAAATATGATCATCACTATTAATGTTAACTTATTTCCTTCTCTGGAATATTACACAGTTGATTGCCTTTGATGTTCCAAAGGTCACTGCAAGTTAATTTCATTTCCACTGGTTCAGTTCTGACGTTTCAGAAAAAGGAATGTCCTGAAACTGCATGAGCTAGAGTGTTCTGTTCTCAAATTGGTTTACTTCATTCTTCAATTTTCTTTGTAGGTGAAATATAAGGAAAATTATATGAGCCAGTTAGGAATCTGGAGATCAATCCCAGACCGTCCAGAGCATTTCCATCATCGCGCAGTCACGGATGCTGTTAGTGATGTGAGTTCAAATAGTTTTGGGATATGAGAGGTCAAAAGTTTTAAGTAGGTTTCCAAAATGAAAACCAAGTCTTACTTCTTTAGAAAGGGAAGGCAGCTGAAATTTTTTAAGTGATTTACACTTTCACCTGGCAGATCTTTGAAATGACAGAGCAAATCAGATGGCTAAAATTGCAGGCCAGCTCCTTTTGAAATTAGCGGAACAGCCTTAATTGATTTAGATTTGTTCGTTAACCCTGTAACAACCTTTAAATGTACATGTCTGTACATCTACAATAACCTCTTAATTGTACAAGTGTAAGTGTTTTTTAATCCACACAGGAACTCCAATAGCTAATGATAGATTAGGTATGTGAATAATCTGAGTCCATCAGAAAACTTTGAGGAACTGTAACTTATTTTATAATGGAATAATAATGGATGGAGCTCTGTTTTCTACACCTTGTGTTGAGGTGCCATTTCAGCATTGGTCAGCTATCGCTTGGTGCCACTTAAGACTGAATCCTTTTGCTTCTTTTCTAAAGGTTAAATACAAGGAAGACTTATCATGGCTCAGGGGCATTGGCTGTTATGCATGGGATACTCCAGGTTTTGCTCTGGCAGAGAAGAATAAGGTGCTCTACAGTGGGGTAAGTAAAACAGTCTGAATTGCTGCTAAATGTTGGGGGGGGTTGATGATTGCTTGTATTGTAGATAATTTTTTTGCAGGAGAATCCAATTCTGACCTAGATATTGATATGAATAACTCATGGTAGAACTTAATATATAGCATCTAAAATTTAAATTCTTACTATAAAATACAACAGAGCCAAAATGATCTTTTACTTATCCCCTCTGTTCCTTACAAAGCTATCAGCTCCATAGTAATTCTTCTAGTGATTCTAAGTCTAGCTTTAAAATTACGAAGATTTGAAATTTCCATTACTTTCTTGATGTGGTAGTTCCATCCTGCAAACTACTACATTTGCAACTATTTTTTATTTATAGGAATGTTAAAGGCAGATATGCAATAATTCTACCATGGTTTTGCTGCAGATTCTTTCTAAAATCATATGTTTTCATTGCCTCTCCCTTCTTGGGATTAATATCGGAATGTTTTTTTGTGTGTGTGTGTTTTTGTTTTTTTTTTTTTTTTCCTCCAGTGTAAGTACAAGGAGATATTTGAGAAGACTAAGTCTCATTTTAAGTATGTAGCTGACTCTCCAATTAACATGCATTTTAAATACGCAACTCAGTTGATGGATGGGGTAAGTGTTAAAGATTTCTGTAGCATCTCGTACTGAAGTAGTAAGTGTGTGTATGTTGATATGGAGCTGAAGGTTGATCTTCCTTCTGAAATTGTAAATAAATCAAAATATATTCAGGCTTAAAGATGTCTTAAGGTCAGACTAAAATAATGAAAGACAAGGTTGTTCCTACTGTCTGTCTGAGTATTAGGACAGGACAGGTTTACAGTACCTAAACAGTGAAATCGAGGCCGCTGTTCCATTGCAAAGAAACTTCTCCTTTGCTGACTGGTAAATAAATGCTAACTTACATAATGCTGTTAGCTTAGTAACACTGATTGATGATTGTCATGTGAAAATGGTATAGAGACAATCACAACTGCTTTCCTGAAACACTGAAAAAAAACTTCATCAGTGCTAGGAAAACAGTATTATGTCCAAAGTTACTACAGCTCTGTTTCTTTTCAGATGTTTTGCCTTGAATTCTCCTACTCTACTGCTTACTTTTTCTTAATTTTCTCCTGTAGTGTTAAAGAAACAAACATGGCGTAGTAGCAAAGGGGGTTAATAAATGCCCCTGTGTTTGAGATTAAAATCACCAATGGAGTTTCTAGGAGTAGTCCTGTACACCCCCAGGACACAGCCCATTGAAAAGCACTGTGTTCTAGGTGAATTCTCATCAGCTGGGAGCTGACATACCACACCAGACTCTGATGCTTTTCATTAAAGCAGTGTATATTTAGGCTCTCACATCTTAGTATTTTATTCTTTTTCAGCAGACATTATGCTAAATTGTTTACCTGTCCGTAAATGTATTACAGTATTACCTGTTCTAGCTAAGAAAAACTGTTTCACAACAGATACCATTCCATTACCATTGCTATCATTTCATACTCAACTTGATACTCAACACTGATAAGCAGTGAACCAAAATTTGTTGTGGAAGACTGTTAGTATTCAGTTATCTTATTATTCAGTAGAGCAAATAAGGAAAAATTTAATATGAGAAACATAAATGAGTAAAATTTTGGCAATGGGGGCTCCATACATTGAAATGAATTGCCTAAATGTATGTAAGTGATGTTTTTTGTGATGAGAGATTATAGATTTTTCTTACAAAATGTCTGATGATAATGTAACATAGTATTTTACCCTTGCATTTTACTGTGTTCTCTTTGTACTCTAATCAAGAATCTATTTCCATACAGAGTTGCTTCTGCAGTTATTTTTCATGAAGAAAGTAAGTCATAAAATGGCTTATTGAAGAGTGGCAGGGATAGGATATAGGCATCCTTATACTGTAGATTAGGCCTACCAGTGGAAATACAGAAATGCATATACTATTTGGAAATATTTTCTCCCTGTAGTTTTTTTTTTTTTTTATATATTTTTCTCTTTCGGATATGAATAAACGCCTTTAAATAGTCCGTGTAAAGACGTTTCAACGGTTAGAACTATGATCTCTTTGTGTCTTCACTCTCTTTTAATTTGTTACACTGTATTATGCTATTCTGAGCAGAAGTTATATAAAGCTGCCTATGAGAAGCTCAAAGATAGGTACAGCGTTATTGTGGATGATCCTAGGAACCTCCTGGCCAAGTGGGGGACTACACTGAGCAGTCAGGTACTGTAGGAGCACCAGCCGGTGCTTCCAGAAAGTGCCTGGTTCACTCACAGCTCCTCTGTCTGTGTGAAATGTCTATAGCTAGCCGTATCACAGGTTTCACCTGTGATCTTGTCATGTTTTAGTTCAGTTGATCGGACAGTCTTTGTTTTGCCACCCAAAAAGAATTATTGCTTTTTGAGTGAGCTAATCTCTACTGTATGTACTTTCATATATTGTGCATCAATTGACATCAGAAATCTAATGTCTCTTGAAGTCATTGGAGAGGTTTTAAAAAATGCATGTTGTATCATGCATTTATTTTTTATTACCTCTCTTTTAATGACCTTTACAAATATTATCTTCTTACCCATTACTCAAGCAACAGTGACACATTTGGCTTTGGAGTGCCCTCACCTTAATCTGTAATTTACTCTTCTCTCCTGAAAAGTATTTTTGCAACTTCCTTAATGGGATAGTATGGAAATCTTTTAATATATACTCCTGACATTCTTAGGTATATAGATGTAAGTTGTATGCACACCTGAATGAATGCATATAGTACCTTGCCTAAATCTCTCCACTCTCAAAGTGTCTGGGATCTAGAGCTGTGTTGTTGTTTATGGTGTTCACGAGTCTCTTTTGTGCTTCATTGCAATTTGCATGAACAGAAAAAATATAAATCGTTTGCCAAGATGCTCCTGCAGCATGGATGTAATGAAATTCTGAGGCCAGAAATGCTGACAGCACTCTACAACACATACTTATGGAGCCAGGTAATACGAAGAACTGCTGCTGTAGGAGATATTGTATGCACAAATATATAGATATACGAATTAGCTGCTTGGACTTCTAATATTTAATGCTTGGGAGTTCTCTCAATTTCTACAGATATCAGACTCCAGAGTTTTGTCGATACGCTTAATGCTAGCTATGATAAAATATTTTTGAAAACAGAATATCTGAAACAATGTTTACTGTAACTTGGACGTCACTCAGCTCAGGCTGATCTTGCCTCCATTTGTCTCCTTTCATTATAAATAATTGTTACATATGCTTCTGTATAATATTTCACATACTTACATAAAGAACAATTTTCCATGCATTTAAGATATTGTATGTTAGCTGTTCCTGGTATTTCCTAACCAAATTCTCATTCTGCCACCATTTCTTGGACTGACCACCGCTATAACACAAGTCCCTTAATTCGGTATGAACATGATGAAGTAATTTGGCGAGTAGATTACAACATGTAGCTACCACTCTGCCTGGGGATGGAGTCAGATTGTGCCTAGATACAGAACAGTTGTGTCTCGCTTCTAAGTGCTCTTAGAAATGGTATAGGTGTAGTAAATCACGTTTTCATAAGTTTCTTTCTCTACCTACTGCCCTTAAGCAAGGCTAGCAAAACAGTCCTCATGCAGTCACACAATACAGTCTATTAAAAAAAATACCCTCTCCTTTTGCCAGTTCTAATAAGAATCAGAAGGTAGAAAGTGAGTACAATTCATCTATTTGTTCATACAGAACAAAGAGCCTAACATTTATTTTTCTGATGATGTAAAAGAAAACCTGGAATGACTGATACTATTGTAAAGAATTCATTTTCCATATTCTACCTTCATTTAATCTGGATTCCAGCATATATATATATATATTTTTTTTTTGGTTGCACCAGTTGGATGAAAATGTGGCTTATTAAATAACTGGTATATATTTATTTCTGCTCTGACATCACAGCTGCTAGCAGTAACCTTACTCTTTTCAATGGTAAAAATGAATTCCTGACTGGGCCAGGTGAAACCGGCGTGTAACATTTAAACTGTAAACTGGAAATGCAACAATAGAAAACAATTACACGAGAGGGAGAGGAGTGTTCTTCTTTGTTACTATTAGCACAGTTAAAATTCTTCAGTGATAAGGTACTGAGGGTCTTTACTAGACATTTTTCTTCAATCTATGCATGGATTTCTATTATCTCATTTAAAACTCTTTGCAGGTAAGTTTGAGTATGCTTGAAGAAAAAAAGTCACACTCTGCCTGACCTGCATGTTCATCTGAGTTAACTTCATGTTAACTCATCATGAGTTAACTTCATTTGTTGTTTGTATATGATGTTTCATATTTTGTCTGTTGTAGTCCTGTTTCAAAAGCATGGTTTTATTTTCTGATGCAAGATAGAGCATGAAAGTTCTTTTTTAAATATGTGTTCTAACCTCTTTCATCTGCCCTCGGGCTCTCTACAATGAATTATCATTCTTGGTGTACAGGCTGTTCTCACTGAATTCTGTGAAAACAGTTTGCAGAGTCCTGAGTAGGGCAAGATGATCTTTAAAAAAGAAATTACCAAGATACAAATTCTGCTATCAAAGCCTTTAAAATAGCCTGGAATTATGATATATGCAGTGGATGTTTTTATCTTCTACTGTGTAAGATGTTTTACATTTCCCTTCATTTGATGAATATTTAAAAATGAGATCTTGTCCAGTTATTAATTTTAAAAGTCACTGATCTGCCGAGATTGCTCAGTATTGGAGATTTTGCTTCACTTTAGAAGTGAAACTTTTACACTCAGTGAAATAAATGTAAAATTAATCACACAAATAGATAGGCAGCCTCTTAGGCAAATAAGGCATTTGTAAAGTTTAGCTCATTGGGCGTGTTGAGCTTTCATTGGCTTTGGTGGAAGGATTTTGCAATTTTATGTGTGAATATAAACATATCTCCTGAAGATGTTTCGTCTTGGTTTGTGTGGTTAACATACACTTTTTTCCCAATCACCAGGTTGAATACAAAAAGGAATATGAAAAGAAGAAAGACAAGTATACCACGATTGTGGATACTCCAGAACACTTAAGGACTACAAAAGTCAACAAACAGATTAGTGATGTAAGTGTCGTCAGTCCCTTTCAAGCATGCCTCCTTCTCTGAATTCTGACCTTTGAAGTGCGATAATTAAGAATACGGCATTTCCAGTAGTCCCTTATACAGTGTTTCTCATCTTGATTTTTTTTTTTTCAATTGACACCAAGAATGTCAAGAAATAATATAATTACAATTTTTGTCTTCAGATTATTTACAAATTGGAATATAACAAAGCGAAGCCTAAAGGCTATACTACAATCCATGATACACCTATGTTGTTGCATGTGCGCAAGGTCAAGGACAGAATAAGCGATGTAAGTAAATTATCCTTGTCTCTGGTATCAAGAAGACACGTAATTAACTTCTTAGTTTGATATGCAATACTTTTAACTCATCTGTAACACTGTCATTAAAAAAAATAGCTTCCTGTTGGTGTGTATTGGTTTTGTTTGCATGTCAAACTCCGTATGTACTTAATGCTTTTTCAAAAACCACAATAGAGTATGAAAGTATTCGGGAAGTTTCTTCATGTAACGTGCTTCTGTAGCTCTTGGAACACTTCTGCTGGGGTAGAGCAGCCCTTACCAGTAGTAAAAGACATGAGCCTGGTGTCTAATTAAGCTTGGATTTGGGGAGTCTGTTTCTGGGTTTTCTTCCCCTGTTGGCTAGTGGCTTTTGTGGAGCCTTGAATAAGGTACTTAATATGTTACTGTATTTATTAATTTCTTCTATGGATATTGTGAATATGGAAGGTAAATATGTGTTTTGATTATGGGGCAATGAAAGGCTAAGAAGAAGAGAGAGAAGGGAAGATGAAGTGGATAGATAACATTATAGGATTTGGGAGTCCAGGTCCTAATTCCTCCTCCTACCCTAGGCTTTCTCTCTGACCTTTGTATTGTTGTTCCTTAGATATCCGTAAATAAAATGAAGATACTAGCACTTCTGTAACTCAGGATAGTACTATGAGAATAAGTAGCACGAAAGTAATTCAGATGCTATATGCATTATCTATATAATGAGTAAATCTAGGAGGACAAAATAACCATGTTATCCAGATACTGACGTGGATCATTAAGAGACAAAGATGTTCAAAAGCAATCTGTGAATCGAAGTACATTTTGTCAGTTCCAAACCGAATGCTGAATTTGAGATCTATAAAGGAACTTTCAGAAAGTATTGAATGTGCCTAGCAAAAGACACATTTCTCTAAAGCATTTCTAATAGGTGCAAAAAACTAGAAATAGGCAGAATTACTGTTCATGCATAGATTTTGTTAAATCTTAGTGTGTGCTTCATGGTGAGTTATACCTGCTACATTTTCTGTTTAAAGAGAATTGCTGCTGAAGAGGACCCTTCTTTCAGGCAGATGGGTGGTCCTGAGTTGTATTGATACAATTTCTTTTTCTTCCGTTAAGATTTTATCTTGACAAGAGCAATTTTTAATACCATGTTTTTCATATTTTGATGCTTTTCTTGTTGATGGCAATATTATCTTTGTAAACATTTGTTGTGTTTGTCTGTCTTTAGCTGAAATACAAAGAAGTGTATGAGAGGAATAAATCTCACTGCAACGTCGTAGCAGATTCTGTTCACATTAAGACTCCAAGGCATGCTTACAAGCTAAACAGCAATGTGAGTTCAGTTTTACTAATACTTTAATTTTATTATGGATAATGTTTGGGACTGGCAAATGAGACCACGAAAAATTATTTTCAGTTCCATTGAAAAATTTTTGAGGCTGGGCATTGTTTCTAATTCTTATACTGCTTGAATAAAATGTATTTTAATTGATTTCATACTCAAGTGCTCACTCTTGCAAGTTCTCCTTGAGGTCACTTGAGCTCCTTGTATGTCACACATCTACAGTTCTTCTAGGCCCCCTCTGTTTTCCTGGCAGAGATGTAACCATCCCAGAAATTCTCTGTGATGATGTTATCATAGACAAAGTAAGCGCTTCATGGGAAGCTCTCCTGTGTTTTCTATTATTGGAGGCCCAGCATCCACTTGAATAGGCAAGGAACTGAAAGCACTCACCTTCTTCAAAGTCATGACATCTTTTCAGTCTTTCATATTCCTTTCTCCACCTACCAGTGGAAAAACTAGAGTAAATGGACTCCCACTAGATTGTACATGATTTGGAGGAAGGCCCTAGTCTGATGTAGATGCACTTTCTTATCTCTTCTCTCTTTAATTGGTACAGACCAAAAGAGAATTTACATCTATATGAATGTCATGTGTAAAGTACCCAAATTCCAATTAACTTCTTTTTTTTTTCTTGTTGTTTCACTATAAACAGCTGGATTATAAGAAGAAATATGAAGCAGCCAAGGCTCATTGGCACTGGATTGCTGATAGGCCTGACTTTGTTCAAGCAGCCAAGTCGTCTCTGCAACAGAGTGATGTAAGAAAATCAGAGCAAACTGAATACTCCCTTTCCACACATCTCTCATGTTCAGAATAAAAAAAAAAAAGTTGTAGAAGATTTGAGACTCTCTTATTTTTTTTCTTCCTGCAGTATGAATACAAACTGGACCGGGAATTCCTAAAGGGATGCAAACTCTCTGTCACGGATGATAAAAACACAGTATTAGCCTTAAATAATGCCATCTTGGCGAGTGATGTAAGTACTTGAACACTCACTTTTTTTTGTTCTACTAGAAGGTTATATACTACATCAACTACCATTGGAAATATGATTGGATTACGAATGAAGCTTTCAAAAGTTGTTGTCAGTCTCACTTCATTATTTGATTTGACTTGTTTATTTCATTAACAAATTGGCAAGATCTGAATAAATTTGGTCTTATAAATGTCACTGGCCTACTTGGTGGATTAAATAAATATTCAAAGTTAACATTGCCTGAACACCCTAGACGTTGGTATATCTCTCCATTCCTGTTATTGAATTGAAAATATTATCTGGAGAAAACAACAAGAAAAAGCTTCAGGTATAACTTGTGCATAACTCCAAGTATCTTTAATAGTTACTAACAATATATTAATATTCAATATTCCATATATTAATAAAATTCCAAGTGACAGCTATAGGAATATATAGACTGGAATGAATTTATCTTGGAAAACATCAAAATACGGGATTTTTGGCAAACTTTTGCACTAACAAGCAGGCACAACTATAGTAATTGCTTTTTAAATTGCCACAAGACAAGATACACATTGCTCAAAATTATATGTTTTCTTCCTGATAGATAAAATACAAAGAGAAGCATAACAAAGCTCGAGGAACGTGCCTTGTTGTTCCAGATACACCTCAGATCCTCCTGGCTAAGAATGTCAGCTCTCTTGTGTCTGAGGTAAAACAGCAGAGAGTTATTTGTTCATTTTAACTACATCCTTTTAATATGGGTGGGGCTTGCATTGCTGGTTTTTACCTATTTTTATTCTGTGCTTTCAGAACAAATACAAAGAATACAGCAAGAAGCAGCTTCCACATGGGTCTTACACAACCCTGCCAGAGACACGAGACACTGCTCATGTGAAAGAGGTGACCAAGCATGTCAGTGAGGTAAGTAGCTGGTGTGATAATAATTTGTGGTGAGATTATTACCTGCTGCCTGTAATTGATTAGACTGTTGCGTGTTTTAGTATACATGCAACACATTTAGAGTCTCATCATAAGATGCCTAAGGAGTCGAAAAAGATGAATTCCTACCAGAATAAGGAGAGCAACAAGAAGAGCTAAACACATTTTATTGGGAATCTGTTGAAATACTCTGCAGAAAAGTGACAGACTGGAGTGCTAAAGGGTTGCCCTTAATTCAGATTTTATTTTTCATACAACGCAGTTTAAACACAAATCATTATCTCCAAATAGCAAGTGTTTGTAATTGAAAGTACAAATCATGACAAACGAGCTGGGGACCGTACCTTTTGAGACCGAGGAGACTGCATTTTATCTGTCTTAACAGTTTCAGTGAGCTTATTTCCAAGTTTCTATAGCGTTTACCTCCATGTGAAATTAAAAACTCACACCTGGCCATTTTTGCTCTTAACAGACAAACTATAAAAAGAACTTCGTGAAGGAGAAAGGCAAATCTAATTATTCTGTCATGCTGGAGCCTCCCGAAGTGAAACATGCCATGGAAGTTGCTAAAAAACAGAGTACAGTAAGTTTTCCTTGTCTTTTCATGAATCAAGTAGCTTGTCTAAGCAAATTCAATCAACATCAGCTGGCAAAAACAGAAGTTCATGTACTTTTGGATTTCCTCCCAGCCTCCGTGTTCAGGTGTAACTCTGAAAGGTAAAGGTGCAAGTATTTACAAATGTAAAACTGCACTGAAATAAAGGATTTCTTGGAAAATCCTATTTCTACTTAATCACATGGTAGGATTTAAAGTAATCTAGTGCAAATCACATGTAATAATTTTTTTTATTCCTTCAAATACAGACAGATTTGCACATGCTTATTTCTACATTTGTAGACAACTTGCAAAAACAGATTCCCAAATCCATTCCTTGTGAAAATACTTTAAAAAAAAAAACCCGAATGCACCTTCCCAGCAACATTGCTGTGTCCTTATTAGGTATATTCTTCATGTGCAAACCTCAGTAATTTTCTTTCCTCTGTCTATCATCATGGATTAGATTGAATACAAGAAAGATGCCAAGTCAAAGCTCCACTACACACCTATAGCAGATCGACCAGATATTAAGAAAGCAACTCAGGCTGCCAAGTTAATTAGTGATGTAAGTGGTTTTTAAGTCTTCTGTATAATTCTTTAGCAGTAATTTTACTATTAAAAACAGTGTCAGTAAAATAATTAAAAAGGGATGTCATCGCTACTAAACTATACTTATTTTTTTCTTTGTTAGATTGAATATAAAAAGCGTGGAGAAGCTGGCATTGGCGTAACCATGCTGGGACGTCCAGATATTGAACTGGCAAAGGAGGTGTCCAAGCTAACTAGCCAGGTAATAATAAGAGTTGGTGAAACTCCACAGCAGTGAGAGAAATGAGACCTGGTATTAACTAATATAATAATAATAATACTAATATTATAACTGAAATTAATTCTAGGTTAGAAGATAAGGGACTAATTTAAAGGGAATGTATTAAAGTAAAAATTAAATCCCAGTGCCAGGTATTTCTTTGTTAAATAAACTTTTCTACTGACTTTAATGGAGGTATAGAATCTCCTTAAAATGATGCTGTGACAAGATCTTTTAAATACTAAGGCTGAAGTGTTAGCCATGTTCTCTTTTTTTTAACTTTTCTGGGTATTGGCTTTAAAAGAAGCAGTCTTTTACCTAACTCTTATTATCCATCCTTTATGACATGGACATGTTTCTTTCAGCAGCTTACTTTCTACTTTGTGCCTTTAAAAGAATCTTCTGTTTTGAAGTTAATATATTATATTGATAGAAGCTTGCTTACTTCTATACAACGGTCATGTTTTCCAATCAGTCTAAAGCACACGCTTGCTATTTACTGCGGCAATTTCTTCCGCCAGAACCTCAGTTCAACTTGGTTCTTTCTCACCACTTCATCCTTTAATCCTGTAATTATTTGCATTTCTGATCTTGCTTTCTTGCTGCGCATTATAGGCAGAATACCTCAAACGACATATGAGAGGGCATGGAGCTGCATCTTATGATACCCCATGGATGAGAACCTTTAAGAAAGCTAATATGCTAAGTAGTCATGTAAGATAACTTTAAGTGACACATCTGGGAATGCCATTTTTATGCATCTGTCTCTTGCTTGCATATTATCTTACAATTCCAAGCTGTTAAAGGGTTTATGATGCATCAGTTGCACTGAATCTTTTTGTGTTGAATGTAGCAAAACTTTGTGAGACTGCCCTTCATAATGGTTTTGGAACTTCCAGTGTTTTTAATGGAAGTTTCCGAAGCACTCATGCAATGTGAAAATTGGCCTTTTTCACCCAAAAAACCTAAATATGGATATATAAGCTTGAGCTGGTTGTCCTGAAACTGTGCGAAAAATGGAAATATGTGCGTATGACAAACCTGAACAATGGTGCTGGTAATTTTCAATGAACAGTTGTACCATATGTGTAACATTCACACTGGAACTTCATTTTGACTATTCAAACTTCTATTTAAACTTTATTTAAAGTATCCTGTTTACATTGTGCTGGAATGGCATAATGGAAGCGTAGTGTATGACTGAATCAGCCCCAGAGCCTCTGAGAAGCGTACCCTGTAGTGACTTGGGGGCACATGGCTTCTTATATTTCTTGCCATCTCAAAACCTTTGAAAAACAGAAAAATGATGTCTGCCAGGCAGTTTTGGAAGCAGCAGCACAGACCTGCACCATTTCAGTTTTGCACATGTATTTCCAAATGAAAAAAAGGAGATTATGTTTTTCCATGTCTAGCCATGACTACTGCATGTAACTGTTGCATGTTTGAATGTCAGCCACTGTGTTTGTCAGGAAAAACTGGTCTTTTCACCAGAACCAAGGATTCTTAAACTGAACAATTGAACTGCAAGACAAAGAAGAAATTATGTTTATTACCATTCAGTGATGAGATCCGACTTTTCCACGCTTTTGCTCCGATGCTAGCCAGTTCTCCTCCTAGTCTTATAAACATGCTTTGATGAGATTCTTTTGGTCCTGAAAGGAAACAAAGGGAGCACAGAATAATTGACACAACCTTTACCTTTTTTTTCTCTTAGACATTTCCTCTCATAAACTTCTTCTTTATAAAGCATTATGTCCAGTTTGTTTGTCCACTTGCCTTTTTGTTATTTGGATTTCGTCTGCTTACCTAGCATGCTTGCATTTAATTTTGCATAGGTCTTTCAGTAACATTTCTTCAGGGCTTAAAAAAAGTAAGCTCTTTGGCATGATGGTCTGATCTTGATCGTATGTTGCATAGCTTGCAAAACTTGACAGATTCTAGTATACTTCTGCTTGATTTGAATTTTTATGAGGTCAGAACCAATATTGATTCCTTTATGTCAAAAATGTTAATATTCTTTTTTTCTTACAGCAGCTCTATAATTTGTGGATTTGCCTGTTTCACTGTGTGTTTTATCTGAATGTTGCTATATTTTGCAAAGCAAAAGAGCAACAGTGGTATCCAGCATGAACCAAATGGTGCTGCATGGGCAGGAATATGAAATCAAAGTGTGAAATGTGATTGTGGAATGTGATTTAATTCTGCGTTCCATCATCTTTTTTTACTAATGTGAAATTATCTGTTTACATTTCTGTAATTGTCATAACAAAACCTTTAGCATGAGTCAGCTTTTCCTCAGCTTAATTACCCGTTCTTCAGTATTTTATTTCCTTCATTTCAATTTTCGCATAAATATTTCTTGCAACATCAGGTTTTTTTCTGAAGAACCATTAATTCTTTTTCCTAATCAGCCAGTCTTATATTTTCTGCGTGCTTTTTATAAGTACTATCTTGGTCCCGAAGAAGATCAAATTCTTTCAGAAGGACTGATGATGGTGGTTCAGTTCTTGTTCTTTAGACCAGGGATGGGGGTTGCTAGCTTATTTAGTATAAAGGAAATGTGGATTGGTAAACAGAAGGAAATGTTGCCTCACCTGTTTCCAGACCAGGCAGAATACTACTGCAGGGAAGGAATGACGAATCCTCAGAATTTTTCTACTGATAGTTACTCTAACGGTGATGAGCATACACACTAACTATGGGATCCATTTAGATAAGCCAGAAGTTAATGTTTAATACTTCGAGTTTTTCTTGCACTCTTCAGTAACTCTTCTGAAACAATTTTATGCATCTCTGATAGCAAAAAAAATACTCCAAATGGAACCATCCCCTTTTGTAGGTTTACAAGAAATAGTGAGGAATTAGCCTTTAGCTGCACCTGCAGCAGTGGGATGGGGTAGGTCACGATGGATGAAGGACTTGCCCTCCTTTAAGCCATTAGCCAAACTCTCATTCCTATCAACATTCTGTGCCTTGGGCTCAGGTCTGCTGGAATATTATGGCTTATATCGCTATGGTTTACCTTGCTGGTGCTAATGTGGTTTGGAAGTGTTACTAAGCATCTTGCATAATCTAAGTCCTAGTAATTAATTGTATCAGTATTCTGCTTGTGATCATTAACATCTTTCTTCATCTCTTATTTATACAGAACACAATATGTGCATAACAGCACATATAAAAGTATTTGATATATTGCCATCTTCAGTGCTCGTACGTCTTGAGGTGGTTTTTGAAGCTCATATTTCTCCAAGAAGTACATAAAAAGTTCTTTTAAATATTCTTTATGCTTCCTTCAGTGTTTGTCTCTTTGTGAAACAGGGTATCTTTTATCTATGCGTAGTTCCCATCAAATGAAAAATTCTTCTTCTCTGAGCGTCAGAATTTAGCTGTGTTTTGTCAGCATACTTCTCTTGACTATGTCTGGTATTTTTACAACGAGGAGATATAACCTGTGCACTGAAAGAAAAATTACAAGCGGTATTTTGTAAATACAGATGGTAGATTTTCTTTCCATGTCAGGTCATCTTTAAAATAGCCTGTATTCCAGTGGATGCCTTCAAGTTACTACATTTTCATTCTTCTGCTTACCCTCAGCATTGAAGTAGGGTTTCTTTGCCTTCTGAAGCCAAACAAGTGAGTACTCAAGAACAGTTGTAATACTTGGCTGTTTTTTAATTTAGGTGAAATACAAGGAGAATTTTTCCAAAGAGATGGGTAAAAAGCCAAAGTATGATTTAAAGGAGGCTAAAATCTACAAGACCATGAAAGATGCTCACAACATGGCTAGTGAGGTATGTTTCCTTATACTTTTCCTCTAGAGAAATTACAAGTTTCACATTTCTTTAACAAAGACCTCCTTCATGTTAATACTTTCAATATCACTGGTTTTATTAGCAGTCTCATTTTTTGATGTTGTTTGTCCTTTCTTACCTGCAGGTGAAATACAAGGCGGATTTAAAGAAACTTCATAAGCCTGTCACCGACATGTCTGAATCGCTGATCATGAACCATGTCCTGAGTACAAGCCAACTCGCCAGTGCTGTAAGCTCATTAACTAATCCCAGATCCATTTGAGTTTTCCAGTATTATGGATTCCATGCTGAACTGATCTCTGCTAACTATTTCTGTAACAATTACTCCTTCTGTTATTGTTCATGGGACATCACCTGGTAGTGATCTCTTCCTCTACTTTCTAATGGTTATTTCCCAGTTAACTAGCAACTTTGCCACATTTGCCCTCTGGGAAGTGAAATCTTTATTAGCTGTAGAACTGCTAATATTTTAAATCCTCTAATAGTTTTTAGTGGATTGATTCTTTATTACATTTTAACTGATTGCATCACACTAACAAATACTATTTTCTTCTTTTTTTTTACTTTTTTCCTTACTGCTTACTATATTTAAATTTTTTTTTGTCTGCTTTTTCATTTGATCTTTATGTTTAACATCCCCCCATTTGTAGATGTACAGAATTATGCCTAACAAAATACTTGATAATTTTACTGAGAAAAGACAAAAATCATTATTGCCCGGTACAGCCTCTTCATGTATCCACTGTGTTTTCTTTTTTCTTTTTCTTTTTTTAATCCTGGTTTTGCAAAAATCTTTGTTGCAATCAAAGTAGTCAAAAAAAAATAACTGCTCACCCACATCTTTAGAAGTGATATCTGATACTGGGAGTTAAACTTCTTGGTTTTATTTTGCTTTTTGTATTTCTAATTTCTCTTTGATGTTCCATTGAAGTGTTGCTTTGATTGGACCTAAGAAGTAAATTTGCTGAGGGATTTTTTTTTTATTGAGATGATTTTTGACACCTTCCCTTCAGTACCAGTACAAGAAGCAATATGAGAAGAGTAAGGGTCACTACCATGTGGTGCCAGATAATCTTGAGCAGGTTCATCTAAGGGAGGCATCAGAACTACAGAGCCACGTAAGTTGGGCATGTGTTTCTCATTAACCCCACTCATTGAGTACCAGTCTTCATCACTGAAGTCACCCTAGAAAATTCTCCAGTATATAACAATCTCTGTGCCTATCTGCTTGATAAACACTGCACACCTGAGTAAACAAGTCAAGGAGAAATATTTGCACATTTGCAAGTTTAGAACACATATAAAATATCTGAATGATTTCTTCATTCTAGAGTAGATCTTAACATTACTTCTTTCTGTTGTATATGGATCTTTTTACACACTATAATACATTTATCAGGGTGATTTTGTATGTAGAAAAAGGACCTGGTAATCACAGAAACTGGAAATTGAAAGAAGTAGGGTTGTTGCTGACAGTATGTTTCCAACTGCTTTATCCATTCTATCCTCAAGTGATACAAAGGAGAGCTCTTGCCAATCTTTTTCAACATCCAAAATTGCTTTAACCAAAACAATACCTACTGGTGCTATTAAATGTGTCTGCCAATTTTTCCCTCTGGAATACAACGAATGGTGAATCATTCCAGAGAAATTCATGCTCTGATTTGGTCTCTAATCCTCTCTATTCCAGGTTCTATTCCAGGTATTTATTGACTGTAAAGCAAGAGAGAAATTACTGCTAGAACACAAAGGGCCATAGTTACTGTTCTGCTGCACGGCATGGAAGAGCAAAAAGGTTACATAGCAAAGGACTATAAGAAAATGGTTGTTAATCAGTTTGTAGTTAAACTTTAAGTCGCTACTTGTTGCTCCGGTTTGAGATCTCTCTCAGCCAAAGAATAGCATTACCTCGTGCAGCAGTCTGAAAATTGATGCCCTAAAGGGCTGGATATTATAACTTGAAGCAAGAATATCTTCATCCTTGTTGGCATTTTACTTCCTGGACACTCATGCATAGAATTAGTTAGCAAGTCGCTAAACCGCATCTTTTCAAGCCCTGCCACTAACACTCCAGCAATCCATTAACACGTAACTGGCTGAACAAAGCCAGGGCCACGAGCAGTCTGAGTGCCTTCAAGTTACATTTTTACAGCTACCTGTCTTCCTTCCTGTGATCAGTAAACTGCTGAAATCTGAGCTGACACTGCTTGTTCTCTGCAACAGGGAATAAATCAGTAGAATTCTAGGCCCCGCACATTCTGCTGAAAGCCTGACCTTTGATTTTTACATTTTCTGGTCAATAATATGGATTTCGGGAAGGTAAACAGTATTAGACATTCATTTTTCACCACAGATCTGTTGACCAAAGTAGGCACATACTAGTCGATGAGTTGGTTCTTTGATTATTTAGGAGGGTAACTTTTTTCTTTTCCTCTCAGGTGAAATACAGAGAAAAGTATGAGAAGGAAAAAGGAAAACCTATGTTGGACTTTGAAACTCCAACATACCTTACTGCAAAGGAGTCTCAGCTCATGCAGAGTGAGGTATGGTTAAAATCAATACTGATAGACTAAAAAACTTTAAAATTTTTTTTTCAGTTAAACTTTCACAGTGATTTAGACGGACAGTTATACTTGCATCTTGTGCATGCTGATAGACTGAAAAATTATAGCTTTATCACATTTCTTTATATTGGTTATGAAATACTACATTTAAAATCCATGAAGCTTTCCTGTGTCACGATTAAGTGTATATTATCTGTCAGAAGCTATCAGCAAAGCTGTCAGAAGCTCTCAGTAAATGAAGCTTAAGCGAGTCTTCGAGTCTTTAGAAGAAATGTAATATGAAATACATTTCACTTAAACTTTTGCAACACGAGTATAGTATGTGTGTCAGTTATCATAGTCCGCAGGAAGTGCCCTGGTTATGCTTTTCACCTCAGAACTCTATTTTTGAGAAATGCATTTATTTCCTGTTTGTCTCTACTGTCATAGTGTTCCTCACTGACCTGTCATTCTATTTGCTCAAGCAGTTCTTTTCTGTTTGTTTGAAGTATGATCTTGTTCTGTCACAGATGAAGGCTTATACATGCTGAAAAACAGCTGTATAAGCCCATTGGTCATTATGTTTGAGTGACTCCATTGAATGTTTTCTCTGCGTATACAAATAAGTAGAAAAAGAAAAAAAAAAAAAAGGCAGGGTCAGGTCCCATTTCCATTGCAAGCGATGAGCTGTTTCATGGGCTTTATTAGAAACAGGATTTATTGCTTTAGATGCCCACGGCATTGACTGTAGCAGGTTGTCATTGCGACATTAATGCCAAACCACTGCTCCATCCTCCTGGTAGTTTTTCATGTAATTAAAAATGATGTAACAAACATTTGCTGTTTTGCTTTTTTTCTTTTTACTCTCATTAGAAAGAATATAAGAAGGACTTTGAAGAGTCCATTAAGGGCAGAAACCTTACTGGCTTGGAGATTACACCATCCTTATTACATGTCAAATATGCAACCAAAATAGCAAGCGAGGTAGCAGTTATTCTGTGCTTATTTCCTCTGTGAAGTTAAATAATTTGACTAAGTATTCTCAGCAACATTTCTTCACCACGTTCTTTTTCCTAACCATTCACATTAAGCATGTTTACATATATTTTGTGTTGTGATCTAATTTGTCGTGGACACTTATTTCATTGTTTGTTAACTGTATTCTTATTTACTGTGTCCCTTTCTGACATTGATCAGCCTAACTGTTCCATAGTGGCGTGTATATGTGTGTACCTTTGCAATTTATCTTGAACAATAATGACTATACTCTATTCTGTTGCAGTAGTTCTTACATAACCCTATACAATATTCTTTGTTGTTTTAAAAAAACCTTTTTTCTTTTGGAGATTTTGGGATTATTTTTTTTTCTTTTTTAATTTTTGCAACAAAGTTGTAGAGTGTCAAACTCTCTTTAGTCTGGCTTTGCAGTTTTCATTTTGTTTCTTCTGCAGAAAGAGTACAGGAAGGATCTGGAGGAAGGTGTCAAAGGTAAAGGACTAACAGCTTTAGAGGAGACTCCAGACATGTTAAGAGCGAAGAATGCAACTCAAATCCTGAACGAGGTATGTCAAAAGCTATATGGAAAGTACCTGAATGGATGTAACAGCCTCCAACTGATAAATGCTTATGGCTGTATAACACTAGTATGAACTTTGTCGTTCCCTAGAAACCCTTGAGTAGGGAGAAAAAAAGGATGTGTGTGGGTGATTAAGGATAAAACCGGGAGCCTGAACTTTCAAGTGAGCTCTTTTCTGGCTTTGCAGTTACTGTCAGGAGTATAGGTGGGAAAGACATGCTGTGATCAATAGTCAGATCAGACAAGGAGTAGACTAAACCAGCTCTGTGATGCAGCAAGGCTACGCGTAGGAACCAGAGATGTCAGTTGTGTAAACTGGGCATCTCAGGTCAGGAGCAGGTAACCCAAGGCTGAGGAAACAAGAAGCAAAGTGAGAGATCAGAAAGGGACTACAATGAGGGAACCAGATTGGCATACTTCTGCTTTGGGAGGTGTGCTGGGCAGCAAAGAGCTCTTTTTGAATGCTTTAGGCTTGATGGTGGAGTCAGAAACACCAGCCATGCTCATGGACAGTCCCTGCCCAGGACTGATGCCCAGTTGGCAGCTGCAGGACTGATGGCCGAGGCAGTCTTCCCTGCTTTGATGGAGAAAGGTGGCCAGCAGACAGTCAGGATGCAAACCTAACAGCTACTTTATTTATGTGGTGGACTGGTATAATCAATATTTCATAGTGATTGTTTTCATAGGATAAGATTAGCTCATAGTTTAAAAGCCTTGACATCATCAGGCTGAAAGCTGAAACCAGTAACTTTTTAGCATTACTTCTGATTTTTTGCTTCTTAACAAAATACTTGTAAGATAAGCATCCTTACTGAAAACAGCATTTTGTACTTAGTAGTGCAAAGCTTTTGAGTTGTTCAAAGAGCCTGTGTTTTGTTACCAGAATATTACAGACCTATTCTGTTAAGTTCAGCAGAGTTGGCATAGAGAGTTATGAATTATGCCAATCTATACAAAATAAATCTTTTAGACCTTAGTGGAAGATCTCTTTTGGAAGAGTGGCTGCTGCAGCACTGAGTTTTTAAGGGGAGTATTCATTCCAAATGTCACAGCGAATCCTGACACCTTACATTTTTTGGACGTGCTCCCTGTGAAACGTCTGTGACCACTCTTCGCTACCGCATGCGTTTCATATGCTGCTCGCTGTCTGTTGCTTCTTTTCTGTACAAGTTACTGCTTTGCACTGATCACTGATCACCTAGAGGAATTTACACTTAGAGATGACTGGTGTGAGAAGGAAGAGTGACCTTAATACAGCTGGCCTGTAGCGTGCTCCATTTACTGCTGGAGTAGGGCTGTTTGCTCTCAGGATTTAAGTCATAAAGTACACACTTTAATGACATCATCTGTGGGTTTATTTGTGAGTTTATATTAGTAGTATTCTTATTTTGTAGTGTGGTCATGAAACTATCTGAAGTTGCTAAAGGTTTGTCATTTGCACTGACAAAATACCTGTTTACTGTCTTCGTCTGCAGAAAGAGTACAAAAAAGCCTTGGAATTAGAAATCAAAGGAAAAGGTCTGACAGAGCTGGCTTTGGAGACACCAGATTTTGTGAGAGCAAAGAATGCCACTGACATTGCCAGCCAGGTCTGTGTGAATCTCTCATATATCACATCTGATGTCTTCTTTAAAGGAAAATGTATTAATAGGTTTTTTTTCTGATGAACCCAAATGAAAATTGTTGTCAATATAAGTATAAGGCACCTGAATGTGAGCTTTCCCCAACAGATCAAATACAAACAATTGGCAGAAATGGAGAAAGCCAACTACACCAGTGTTGTCGATACTCCGGAGATTATTCATGCCCAGCAAGTCAAGAACCTTTCAAGCCAGGTATCTTGAGTAAAGCAATTTAATCATTGTTCATGTGGGAAACTCAAGTGGATACTAATTTGGATGACCTAAATAACTACCTGTCGCAACATTCAGGAGGTACACCAGAAAAACAAATTTCTCTGGAGCTGTGATGTGGCATCTCTTACTCTGAAAGTCCATTTCAATATTGAAATTAATTTATTTTAAGACTATAAAATGAAACAATAATTTCTATTGCTTTTGCAATACCAAAGCTAATTTTGTTCTAAGTAGATTTAGCTTAATTTTCATAGTCCTTAATAGCCTCAACTTTAAAATAAATCTTACACAGAGGCACAACTTGAATTTGTATCAGACACAGAAGTGCTCACATTTCCATAGAGATGGGCACTATGCAACAATAAGCAATGCCAGATCGTTATTACTGCTTTTGTGTTAATGGAATATATTTTGTATTTCTATCAGAAAAAGTATAAGGAAGATGCAGAAAGGACCATGCCATACTACGTGCCTGTAACAGATACACCAGAAATGCAGAGAGTCCGTGAGAATCAAAAGAATTTTAGCACTGTATGTATATAAATAATAATTACTGTTATTGTCAACTAGTAAAAAACGTTTAGCCTTTTTTCATTTGATAAGGTCCTGATACCACACTCTAATCCCAACCAGGCTGTCTTCATATCTTCAGTTAGAGGGTCCACTATGCATGCAGCAGCCCACTTACGCATCACACAGGGAACCAAAATGATTCTGTAATTTTCTTGGTAAAAACCTTTCTGCTGCAGTGCTTTGACAATTCCTTTGCAAGTAATAGAGAATTATACTTCCAGAAGATGTCTGTTGTTGTCAGTGGGACTACCTGCAAGACTGTATGGTCAGTAACAGACCTCCACAATCTGACGTGCCATCTTTAACTTTCATTGTCGAGCTACATTATTTTAGATACAATCTGGCACCTTTCAAGATTTTTCAGTGAATCTAGTTAAGGACCTCCTATTGCTAATTTAAATGAGAATACATGTAACTGTGGTACATCTTTAGATCACTAATGGTGATGTTAAAATGACCTCCTTATAAAGTGTACTTGAATTTTTTTTTCCTCATCTTCAAATAAAACTCTGTGAGTAAATTTTTATGGCATAGAGTGAACATTTGACGTTTTACTTCAACTTTTTCCACAGCTTCAGTATCAGTGGGACCTACAGAACAGTAAAGGAAAAGTTACAGTTGTACAAGACACACCAGAAATGCTGCGTGTGAAAGAAAACCAGAAGAATTTCAGCTCGGTATAGTTATTTTCTGTTTTCAGTTCTCATTCAAAAAAATACAGTTTATTATGTTTAGTAACATAACTGGTTTGGGCTCTTACCTTACAGGTACTTATGTTCTTGATCTGCTTAAATGTGTATAAGAACTTTTTCAAACAAAACTAATTTTATTCTAAGTAGATTTGGCTGGGTTTTGCTACCCCTTTTTATCTACTGGTTTTTGTGGAGTGCCCTGATTGCACTCTTTCACATAGACATAGCTGTGAGTTAAATAATCAGTCTTGTACTTAAATTGGTATTACTAGTGTCCACCTCTCATTTGTCCTGTTACTGTGTAAGTAGTGCATTCATGTTGTGCTGCAACTGTCTTCTTTCAGTGAAAATTGAACTGTCTGCCTGATTTGTTTCACATTTCATGTGTTACCATGAAGTGCCTAAAGTCTGCTCTGTCATTTTGCCACTAGCACCATTAGCACAGTAAGTGGAAGACATTTGTGTAACACATAATAAAATAAATTAGAACAAAAATTAGTCTTCAATCCTAAAATTCGCCTACAAATGTTTTGAGATTCTACTTAAAATGCATTATTACAAATATAAATTATCAGCCCCTTTTTTGCACAAATGGCACTCGTGGTAGGACAGACTGCAGATAGGCAACAAGGCAGTGACTGCAGATAATCCTCTGAGTTGGCTTTCAGCCTCCACTGTTGTGTACAAATCATGTCATGAGCCTGTGATTCACTCTCTAGGAGAAATAATGTTGTGTTTTGTATGCTTAACCTTGTTGTCTTCATTCTAAATGTTAAGATTTTATATAAAGAAGATATTGGAACTGGAACTACTATTGAAAAGACACCAGAGATGCAGAGAGTTAAACGAACCCAGGATGCAATTAGCTCGGTACAGAAGAATTGATTTTTTAATACTCTACCAGCTCTAATTAAACTTGAAATAATATATTTTTCCCCCTCTTATTTCTTTAAATGTTGCTAACAGTGGCTTGGTAATAATCCATCCAGCTAAGGGTTGCTTTCTAGAAGTTTTTGCCTATTCTTCTTACTTAAACAGTAATCTTTCTAATGATTAACATTCAATTTTTTTTTACTTACAATCCATTTGTAAAATGTGAAAGCTCTTGCTATAATTCTTAATCTCATCCCAAACACAGTTTATTTAGCGCAGATTCAAAGAATAATTTAGGTTGGAAGGGTCCTCTTGAGAACCTCTACTCCAACCCCGTTGCTCAAGCAGGATCAGCTAGAGCAGGTTGCCTAGGATCGTGTCCAGACGAGCTTTGAATATCTCAAAGGACGGCGATGCCACAGCCTCCCTGGGCAGTCCGTTCCAATGGCTGACCACCCTCACAGTAAAAAAGTGTTTTCCTGTGTTCAGGTTGAATTTGCTTTTTTTTTTTTAATTTGTGACCATTATCTCTTGCTCTGTCACTGAGCAGTACCAAAAAGAGTAGCTCCCTCCTCTTCATTCCTTTTCACTGGGTATGTATACACATCGGTAAGGTCCCCCCTGAGCCTAGTCTTCTCCAGGCTGAAGAGTCCCAGCTCTCTAAACCTCTTCTCATATCAAAGATGCTCTTGTCTCTTACTTATCTTTGTGGCCCTGCACTGGACTTGCTCCAGTAAGTCCATATCTTTCTTGTGCCAGTGACCCCGGAACTGGACACAGAACTCCAGAACACCAGTGCTGAGCAGAGGGGAGGCATTACCTCCCTTGACCTGCTGGCAATACCCTTCGTAATGCAGCCAAGTATGTTGTTAGTCTTTGTCATGAGGGTGCATTGCTGGCTCATGGTCAGTTTGTTGTCCAAGGTCCTTTTCTGCAAAGCTGCTTCCCAGACAGTCAGCCCCCAGCATGTACCGGTGCCTGGGGTTATTCCTCCCCAGGTGCAGGACTTTGCATTTCCCCCGTTGAACTTCAGGAGATATCTCTCAGCCCGTTTCTCCAGCCTGTCAAGGTCCCTCTGGGTGGCAGCACAACCCTTGGGTGTATCAGCCGATCCTCCCCATTTTGTGTCATCTGCAAACTTGCTGAGAGCGCGCTCTGTCCCGGCATCCAGGTCACTAGTGAGGATGTTAAACAGTATTGGTCCCAGTATTGACCCCTGGGGTAAGCCACTGCTGACTTGGCTCCAGCTGGCCCTTCTGTCACTGATCAAAACGCCCTGGGCCTGGCTGTTTAGCCAGATTTCAGTCTGTGTCACTGTGCACTTATCTAAGCATAGAATCATAGAATCATTAAGGTTGGAAAAGACCTCCAAGATCATCAAGTCCAGCTGTCAACCTAACACCACCGTGCCTACTAACCATGTCCCTAAGCACCATGTCTACACATTTTTTTAATGCCTCCAGGGATGGGGACTCCACCACCTCTCTGGGCAGCCTGTTCCAATGCTTGACCACTCTTTAAGTAAAGAATTTTTTTCTAATATCCAATCCAAAACTCCCCTGATGCAACTTGAGGCCATCTCCTCTCGTCCTATCGCTAGTTACTTGGGAGAATAGACCAACAACCCGTACTTTATTAACTCGTCTGTGAGGATGCCAGGGCAAACAGTGTCAAAAGCCTTACTAACGCATGTCTCGTAAAGCTTTTATAGTGTATAAAAAATTGTAACCCTCTAAAACTGGAATAACGGTATGTATTACTTCTCATTCGAAACTTGTAAACCCTTTTCATGCTTTTTTTGAATGCTGACGTCATTTTAGTTTGAAAGATACTAACATTGCAGCCCGTTTGTTTCATGCACAGTATGTTAAATATGTTCTTGTGAAATGCTATTCTTTTTTGTTATGATAAAATAGAAATGCAAATAGCACTGTGATCGTTGAAGTGTTGTATGATGACTCTCACCTTTGTTGAATACGATAGATTTTCACAAATCAAAAATTCTTCTTTCATTGGTAGAAAGACCGTGGTATCAGGTTCAAAGGTATTTACACTTGTTTTTAGAAAACCCTTTTAGCAAAGTGCCATTCACAGTGAGATCTCATCAACAGCTACAGCTACCTTCTCACAGATTCCTTGTGAAGATGTCGGGAATACTTTAGCAGCGGCTCTCTGCTCATGTTAAAGCCAATGAGATCTTTTGAAGTTTCAGTCTCCTTGAGATCAGGATAATGCTCTTTCTCTATCCACATATGACTAGGTGCCTATCTCACATTAGGCTAAGATTTTTAGACATTATTTTAAAATCTTAATATCATAAGTTTTTGGAACTCAGTGTAAGGAACCTTGAAACGGTTCAATTGTTATAAACCAGGGGGGTTGTTCTTGCTGAAATTAAGCCCCTGCGAGATGCTAGATACCCAAATTTTAAGCTTCAATTGAAAAATTCTGGCTCAAACAAGATTCTGCTTTTTTGCCCTGAGCTGAGTTAGTGTTCAACTGCTTTGTTGAAGTGTGGCAGAGTTGGCTATCAGATAACTCTAGCAGAAGGTTCCTTGATGATTTCCTTCAATCAGAATACATTTAGTACCTGAGATTTGAATGAGTTTGTGAAGTGTAAAGGACCTATGTCTCTTTATTCATGTAACTTCTTACACATACCTGCGTCAGCTGTGCTTTAATGTAAGTCCTTTTACTTTTTTCTGATGTCTGCATCTTTGTAGATTAAGTACAAGGAAAGCATTGGAAAAGGAACTCCAATTCCTGATCTCCCAGAAGTGAAGCGTGTCAAGGAGACACAGAAGCACATCAGTTCGGTAATGGCCCATATCTTCTACTTACCTATATACTCATGCAGAGCTCAAGCTCTGAACTTTGGTAGTGTTTGTGGGTATTTTTTGTTGAAAAGAGAACAGATCTCTTAAATCCCTATATTCAGCAGCGGGAAGTTCAAATATCTGAGTTTCAGAGTGGTCATTACAGTCAGCCACTTCCCTGTATTACTTCTGTTATCTTTTCTAAACACATCACTAGAAACAAAAAAAACCCAGATGAAGTCTTACAATTAGTCTGGAAAAAAAACGGATTAGCTAGAGAGAACTTTGTGGAAAAAACCCACTTGGGGCCTTTTTTGGTTTGGTAGTCACAAAACCTAGTGACAATTTTAAGTGGGAACAGTACCTGGCTCTTCCCATATCTAGTTAAGCGTAGATTTTAATAACCACAACATGCTCACCTGATTTTGAGCCTCTACTGCTTTCCTTTGACCTCTGCATACAGAATTGGGGCAGGATATGCTCTTGTGATTATTGGTGCCTCAGATGTTTGCTATACAACGCTGAGGAGCTGTGACACCCCTGTAACGATTATCTTATGATTTTCCATTCCTGATTTTCTAAGTATGGTTTCACTTTTGAGCTGTTTATGACACCAGTGATTTTACAGCTCACTTTTGCACAACTGAGTTGTTTTTTTTCAAATGATTCTTTGTTTTTTTCTTTTACATAATCTATTTTCACTTGCTGCGAGTGCTTTATTTTTGTATTTTTTTCATTGTTTCAATGACATCAAGCAGTGACATTTTTTTTGTTAGCTCTTTTTGTTGCAAGTGTTTTACTAGTTGCAAGAAAACCCATTAGTGCATTTGTAATGTATTTCTACATGATTAGGTTTTAAACCAACCCAGGCATCTCCTGGACAACTCCTTTCATGAAAAATGCAATTTTTAAAATCAAACAATTACACATTAAGTTAAATCTAATAATATGAGAGCTAAAACTCAATTGTTTTTTTTTCTAGAGACTTAAAGTAAAATAGAGGTGTTCAAATGAATAGTCACATAGATCAAAATGAATTGGAGCCCACAACTAAATATTTTCATATTCAACATGTCTATAAAAGGTTCACCTGTTTGTTAATACCATAAAAAAAAAAAACAAAAAAAACCCAAAAAAACCCAAAACAAAGACTCCAGAAATGTTGACTGCCTGAAGAGTACTACTATTGCATTTCCTAAACTAAGGTGAAAAGCAGAACGTACCTGCCTTTCATGCCAGGTCAGCAGAATATTTAAATTTGTCTCCTACTATAACGAAGTATTCCATTGACTTCAATGTGTTCAAGCACCTCAGCATAGACATGAAGCACTTTGCTGAGCTGGTGACTGTACTGAAAAAGATGCAGACTGAGTAAAAGAAATAGTGCACATATTTACATACAATCCCAGGTTATATTTACCTATAAACCAGGTAAATGATCTTTCCAAATGTACTGTAGATGTGGAAGGAATATGATCTTCTCACCTTGCTGGGTGCTTGTGTTCTGCAGGTGTTGTACAAAGAGGACCTAGGGACAGGTATCCCAACGCCTGTCACTCCAGAAATAGAGAGAGTCAAACGCAATCAAGAACACATTAGCTCGGTATTTAAAAAAAAAAATATTATAACAACTTATTTTTGCATAACACCCTAACATATAATCTGTTTTTCTTCAGTGGTTTAGAATCTCACCCTGCTCCTGTCCTTTCCCTTGCAATATTTTTAACTCATTTATATTCCACCTTGTTTGTGCTTTAACTTTTTTTTGGTGATTTACAACTTTACATGCATTTCTTTTAAGAACCAAAACTGGAAGCAAGCTGTGACGTTGATGTGGTGTTTCTCTCCATGTTTGTTTTATCTTAACCCTTTATCTTCTAGCACCTGTAGTTATGTATTTACAGAATAATCAACCGTCAGGCCCTTCCTTAATATTTGCCTCTAGAACGTGTGAAATTAATTAAAAGGTGATCCTAACGCTAAACATAACTCACAAAATAGTCAGATTTAATGATTTTGCCTGTGTTGAGTGCTTTTTTTGTGGAAACTTTCTTGTACCTCACAGGTGTTATACAAAGAGGGCTTAGGGACTGGCACCCCAACACCGGTTACTCCAGAGATGGAGAGAGTCAAACGCAATCAAGAGAACATTAGCTCGGTATTGCTAAATAAAACAAACCCTGCCATTTCAAATGCAAATCAAATCCCTTTTAACTCCTCCATATTAAATTTTTCTTTCAGTTTTTTGTTGAACTTTGAACAACGCTTTCTTAATCAAATCACTAAAACCCTGTCAGTATCCTTATATTTTAATTTTTCACTCTAACTTGTCATTAATTTTTTCCAGCTCTGAAATTTTAACCTCATTTACTTAAAGCAGGTCAGCAGTACCTTATTCTTCTTCCCAATGAAATAGTAGTACCCGAGTGATGTCGCTCTCCTCCTCAATAACAAAGTCGATCCTTCTAACAAACAGTCTTCACCATGAATGAGAAATGAACTCTTAACACTTCCTGAAGCAAATCTAATGCAGCTAGCGTGTGTTGGTTCTTTCCCTGGTTTTGCCCGTGTTGGATGCTTTCTTATATCCTACAGGTCTTTGTAAGAAAACCTGGGTGGTGTCCCCCTACCACTGCAATATGAAAAAAATGACAAAAACTGCATATATAAGGAAAAATTACTGTAGTAGAGAATTTCTGTCCGGATTGTTTCTACTCCTAACACATTCCAGTCAAATGACCATCATGGCGTGATTTTGTTCTGTATTTCTGTTTTAATTAGAGCAGTTTAGGGCTAGTTTTGACTCGTTCTGACCCAAATCAGACATGACCAATACGAAATTCAGTCCTGACTTGAGATTAATAGGAGAGTTCAGAGAAGCCACTGTTGTTAAACCTTTTGCTACATTTAATTCTCTCTGAGGTCATCACGGCGCTCTCTCATGCTGGTGAGCTTATTGAGAAATCTTAGAGGCAAAGCTGCTCATTCAAGATCTTTTGTTTGAGTAAGGAAACTCCTTTGGGCAAAAAGGCATAAATGCAGAGAGTTTTCAGGTAACGTGGCTCAAGCTGTGCTTTGCACAAAGCACTCCTGCAGGTCTTGCTGGCATTATTTATATGCACCCAGGTGAGACGACAACAAACCTAGTAGTATTATTACCTGATTATTTTCATTGATTTTTCTTGCTAGCCTTTGAACAGGGCTGACAAAACTCTTTTTCATACTTTGAAGTTTCAATATATTAAACTACTTGTCTTCTCTCTCTCTCTCCTCCCTGTCCTCCTCTTTCCTTTCCTTTCCTTTTTTTTTTTTTTTTTTTTTTTTTTTTTTAATGCTCCCTGTTGCCACACAGGTGGTGTACAAAGAGGGGCTGGGGATTGGAACCCCAGTACCTGTAACTCCTGAGATGGAGAGGGTCAAACGCAATCAAGAAAACTTTAGCTCGGTATTTTTTTTGTAATTTAAGAAATGAAGTTCCCCGTGACTATTTAACACTTGTACATTTTCTATTCTCTCTAATTAACTTATAGACATTAGAATCATCCCTTTCTGCTATTAAAATTTTTTGTCATTGTTAGTTATGTTTTATGTACTTATTTTTTAAAAGATTTTTTTTTATATAATTTTAACACTTGACACTTCATGTCCTTTAATTTTTAAAGGTTTTTTGGGTGAAGCTTAAGGCATATTGCCTTTTTAAAAAACACTGGAGTTTTCATTTGCTTTTTTCCATTCCTCTAATGCTTTATTATTCTGCTGAAGCATATCTATGAATTGGGATGCAGTATTTCTAGCTACCCGAAGGCTTCCTCGGAATTTATCACAATGGTTAACTGTTTTATACTTACTAATTTTTCCTGCTTTCTAGTAGGTTTAGTGGGCATAAAAATTATGTGTATTACCTCCATCAAATGCGGTATTTTTTTTTGGTTCTTAACTTTTTTTTTAAACTCCCATGTTACCATATAGGTGTTGTACAAAGAGGAGCTGGGGACAGGAACCCCAACGCCTGTCACTCCCGAGATTGAAAGAGTCAAACGCAATCAAGAAAACTTTAGCTCGGTATTTTGGAGTTTGAAACAGCAGAAAATACCCTTTTAATCTATTTTAATATACTTTTAACCCCCACAAAAATGTTCTCCTATAATCAACTTACACAAAAATCAATATCCTGGTCCCTTTGAGATTTTTTTTTTTCCTGCATAATTGTTACTTACATCATTCTTGTTCCTCTTTTTTTATTTCATCATCTTAATAATAATTTTTAATTCCACCTTCCTTTTGAGTCTGATTATCTCTTTAATTTCTTTTTCCTCTTAAAACCCACCATTTTCCTTTTCTTAGTCACAACAATCCTTAGTTTTGCTTCGTGTGGTGGTTTTTTTTCCCTGTTTTTACTTACTTTATATATGAGAACTAAACTATTCAGCACCTGATACAAATCTGTGGCTACGACCTCAGTGTAACAGTGCTCTAATCTGCGCCAGTGTAACCCGCTGTGATGTTTATGGAATGGGTAAACAAAGCAGAGTTGATTTCTTTGTTCCTTTTGTGTTGTATTTGATACTTTCTGCCTTTAGGTCTACTGTTGCACAGACGGTTTTTCTATATAGCTGCTGAGAAGCAAAGAGAGAAGGCATTCCAGCCGAAAGGCGTTGCAGACTATTAGTGTTTAGCTGTATGGGTTTGAGGAGCACTTTAATTTTTTCTCTTTTACGCCAAGCTTTGGCTCGGAGCGACTTTGAAAAACATCCATTCTGTTTTCTCAGCAAGCTGCGTGTTGCTGTTGTGTGCTTGTTCCTTCTTTCTTCTTTTAACACAGCCATGTTACCCCGCAGGTGTTGTACAAAGAGGATCTGGGGACAGGAACCCCAATACCTGTCACTCCTGAGGTTGAGAGAGTCAAACGCAATCAAGAACACATTAGCTCGGTATTTTGTGGAGGAACAGCAGTGCTCCCTTTAACGGAACTTTTTAACCTTTATTAAAAAGGAACAATTCCACTCCTTTCTTCCATGTAATCAACTTACAAAAACATCCTTTCTTCCTTGCTGTACTATATTTTCCAGTGTTACTCACCTACCACTTCTTCGTGTATGTAATTATTATCTAATAATTATTTTTAACCATTTTGCTCCCTGTTCCAACTTCCTTTTTTCTTTTATATGTGGGGGTTTTTTTAAATCCTATTGGTTTCCTGTTTCAGCGCTGTTATCACGGAAGGGGAGGGTCTGACTTCCTAGCAGGCCTCAGTGGTGGTAGTCTAAAAGCTCTCCTCCACCATGAAAATGTGGATTTGTCCTGCCTGCTAAGATAAAACCATAGAACTCTTTGCCTTCAAACCCTCCTGCGTGCTATCCGGTCTTCATTGCTTCCAGGGGTAGCTTTTAGGGACCATTAGAGCAGACTGAGCAGGCTCAAATATTTGCTTTCAGCTTGGATGTAATTATTTCTGAGTTGTGATTATGTTTTTGGATGCTTCTTGTTGCTATACAGGTGTTGTACAAAGAGAGCGTGGGGACTGGAACCCCCACCCCCATCACTCCAGAGATGGAGAGGGTCAAACGCAATCAAGAAATCTGTAGCTCGGTACTTTGCTAAGAAAAAGAGTTCCTTTTAACTCTATTTAAAAGAAAACGTTAACAGTTTTAATAAATGGATGTTGTAACACTTGTTCCAAAGTAATGCCGTCTCTCGCTCTAAAGCCCCTTATAGAGGAGATGACTTCTTACTCATGTCTTACTCTGGTTTACAGTGGTGACTTTAACTGGTTACAGTTTTTACTGGTTTTCTTAAGAGTGATATTAATGCCTTTTTCTAATCCTAAAAACACTTAACAAACTCCACTCATGTTCTCTGCAATGCCGACTTCCTTTTAAAAATGTGTAGTTTACATATTTGTAACACCCTCCACCCCTCAATAAGGTATTTTTGTGGTCTCATTTACGTAGTACTGACACTATTTATTACGAGTGATCCTGTAGCTAAAAAGCCAGTATGACAAACCCTACTGCTCTCATAAAATATTTCTAAGTAAGTACGTACCTTCTTTAAAAATATATGCAATACCTAGGCCCTGAGAAGACAAATACAAGAAGAAAAATGCCTTAGGCTTTCAGTTTGCCTACGGACAGCTTTTTATTTATTGTTGCTTTCTTTGGCTCCTTTCTTATGTCTCATAGGTGTTGTATAAAGAAAACGTAGGG